AGGGGGAAGGTGGACCGAGGCACCTCTCCTCCTCCACAGCCGGCGCCCCTGTCACGCGTTTCTCCCATCTCCCATCTCTTAGGTTCTCCAACCCAGCCCCCTCCTCCTCATCCTTCGTCTCTTGAGCTTCCTCCGCCATCCCCCAACCCTCTGAACGCTCTCTCCGCATGCGTGTCCACCCCAATTCATCATGCGTTTCCTGGGGTTCCTGCCATTGCCCTCCCACGCCGGAAGTTCCCTGTCTCGTTGCATCCTCCCTGCTGGCCCTCCATGCCCGCCCTTTTTCGCCAAACCCCAAACCTCATTCTGCAGCCAACTTGTGCTGATCCCTCTCCCAGCCCTGAGCCCTCCCCCCCTAACTCCGCCCCCATTCTCACGCTCCTCATCTCGTTTCTCATCAGCGCCTGCCTCGCCCTACACATCTTCACGCGCACCTCTCACCATACTGTCTCCTCGCATCTCTTCCATCTCCTCTGCGCCTACGCCCTCGGTGCCTGCCGCTTCCTCGCCTTCGCGTCTCCTCCTCGCCGTTATCCACCTTCTGATCCTCCTGAGTATCCGCCTCCTCCTCGTCCTCCAGCTCCTCATCCTCTTTCTCCTTCTACTCTTCGTCTGCCTGCTTTCATAACCAGGGGGTCGCGCATTCGCTGGTGCGCAGGCGGGTGCGCTGAGACCCAGAGCGCTCAGCGCCGATCTTGCCTGCCCCGTGGTCGTCGTGTTTGCGGCAGGGAGAGAAGATTCGCAGGCGGTGGCCTTTGTTCACGTGCTCATCAGGTCATTAGGCCGACATGTCTAGACTGGCACGACGCGCCGATTGGTCAGAGGGGGGCGCTACCGTTGCGCAGGGACCTTAGACCCCAGGACACCATGGACCCCAGGACCCCAGGACACCATGACCCCAGGGCCGCACGTGCCCAGCACCTCAGGGCCTGAGGACCCCAGGAGTTATGGCCTCAAGGCGCTAAGACATCAGGACCTTAGGGGGGCCCTGATAAATGCATGCCGACGCCCCGAGACCCCCGTTCCTTAGTCTATCGGCCACGTCCCTCACTCGTCCTTGAAGCCCTCCCTCCCTCCACTTCCCCGCCCAATGGGCATCCCTTTAGAAGCCGGCCAAAGCTCCCAAGACGCGAGCTCCCAAGGTCCCGGCCACGCCCGCCGCCCCGCAACGCTGCCAAGAATCACTCTGCTTGCTGCCAGGGCGTTCTGGGTTTGCCTGCTTGCAGTGGGTTCCGTCTCTTGGGTGTCCTGTGGATGCTACTTGTGGCCGAGCTCTTTAGTCCGCGTCGTCGGGGCTCAAGCCATTGCACCATTGTGCGAGTCCGAGCCCGACCGCGTCAGGCGCCAGAGACGCGCGATGGCGCTCCGCCCAAGGGGCGACAACGGCCGCAGGGCCGCCGCGGGAGGATGAACGCAGTACAGATCGAGTTTTCCTGGCCCTCCTCCTTCACATTCCTTCCTCGATGATGGGAATGGGTTGGGAGTGGACCATCAGAACTGGATATGTTCGTTTTTCCTCCTCCCAAATTCTCTTCGCCGTACCTGGCGCGCGCCCGCCGCGGGGCAGACCTACGCGCTGCCGCTCGCCGCTGGTCAGAGCTATACGCAGATCGCGACCCACGTGCATGACGAATGACAAGGACATGCGAGAGGCTTTCGAGCTCATAGTTGTGTTTCACTGCCAGAGGCAGCTTAAGGAGAGAGCGTCGCTCTCCCTGACGGCACTCAACGCGTGCTGGTGATGATGGCTGCCTGAAAGCTCTGGCGCTCCCCTATGTGGGACGAGGCCACATCGGCGCCATAGCGCAGACGCGCTGATGCGCTGGCGCCAAGACGACAGCGTCCATTTTCTTTCGCTTTTAGACGCTATAGCGTCATAGCCCTTAGCGCAGGAGCGCTCAGGCCCGCGGGTTGCGGAGGGGCGACAGGGCGTCGTCTTCCACGCGTTCTGCGTTCACACACCTTTGTTTTTAGCGGGGGCGGGGGCGAGGGATAGGTGATGCGGGATCTCTGGGGGTCCAGCTTGCGGGTTTTCTCATCCCCGATTTTGGTTTTGTGGTCCGCGGGGCCTGAAAGCAGCCCGCAGGGGCTGAAAACAACGCAAAGCATTCGACCCCCGAATCCCAAACGCCCCGCCCCTCGCCTACCATCCCCTCTCCCACTGGCTTCGCCCCCTCCAAGATGAGAAGAGGAGAGACGAGAAGTAGGGAAGATGAGGAGAGGACGGGAGAGATAGGAGGAGACTGAAGAAGATGAGAAGGAGGAGGAGGATAAGTGGATGACAATGCGAGGCCACGAGGAGGAGGCGGAGGGAAGATGAGGAGAGGAGAGGAGATGAGGAGGTGGATCCCGCGGTAGCGGGACTCATGTCCTGTTTGCGAGCCTTGTGAGCTCACAGAGTTGTGCTCGTTCGACGCGCCGCCGTCGCACTCTCTGGCGTTTGCACTGTCACTCCTTGCCAAAGACCACCCACCTCACACCTCTGTTCCTTCTCCCTCCGTCTCTGCCTTCACGGTTCCTTCTCCCTCTGTTCGTGCGTCTCTCAACTCCTCTGTTCCCAAAGACCACCCACCTCCCACCTCTGTTCATTCTCCCTCTGTTCGTGCCTCTCCTGACTCTGTTTAGCCCCTCCCTCGTGGCGCCGTCTTGCCCGATCTTCCCGCCTCGTCCACTTCCCATTCCTCCGCTGCGTCCTCCTCCTCCCTCTCCGCCTCTTCGCCTCTCCCCCCCGGCGTTGTCTGGTCGGGCTCGTGTCCGTCGTGAACATCCCTCCATCGCTAGGGCATGCAAGTTCTGATTGGTGATAGATGTTCCCTTCCGCATCCCTGAAACACTCACATCGGACAGCGTTGTTGGTTGTGGGTTGATGAACTAAATGTGAAATGTGCCCCCCCCTTTCTTCCGCCAGTAGCCAATAGCCCGCGGCCCGCATCCCGCAGACCCCTGGGGGGACAGGTCGGAGGTCGGCTATGATTCATCAGCCCTCCACCCGTCGTATGTCGGAGGTTGTCTGGGGAGAGGCCAATGCCTCGCCAATATATGTATCCCATGGTGGCGCAACCCTTGTCGAATCCCCCCCCCCCTCTGTTCTTGGCTGGCACGGGCGAGAATGATGAAGATAAGAGGAGGGAGGGGGCATCATATGGGACGATATTGTTCAGTAGGCGAGCCGACCAATGAGGATGAGGATGGGAGGATGAGCACGAAAGCGGCTAGATCGAGGTGAGTAGGGCGGGGCTCATAAATTGGGGGGCACTACGCACTACAGACTCTCGACAACAACGGACGAATTCACACTCCGTCCGTTGTAAGCCATTTTGGCTAAAGGTCACGTCAGGTGAAGTACTTCTCACTTGCCTTCGGGTGAAGGCGAAGGGCGCAGGGTAAGCTCTAGCATGTCTCTGAGCAAGCCGTTGGACCATGTTGCGGGCCTCGGGCAGAGAGACCGCGGGAAGCGGTCCCGCATCTCTCGGTCAGCCGCTGCTGATGCCCGCGCGCCGTCGAATGCTCAGCTGTCGATTCAGTACAGGCCAGATCATCGTAAATGCGATTGCTGCCCTCGCTTTGCTGACGATCCAGATCCCGTGCAGGCTGCGCTCGGAGGGGGCGGCTTCATGTGGTGGGGGAAGCCGCCAGATTCGCAAGGCCGTTGCGTCGGCAGGGACTGCGGATACTGCCAGCGCTGGTTCAACAGCAATTGCCGCTCGATCCCTGGGATGACCATGACGAAGTTCAAGCAGGCCCTCGGCTCGGACAAGGAGCGCCTTGACCGCCACGCGCAGATCATCAGCAAGTTGGTCCAGGCGATCATTGATTTGGGTGGTAGGAAGAACTTGCACGTGGACTTTGACGTGATTCATGATTGGGTCCTCTCGCGATGCACGCTCTCTGAGAAAGTGAAGACCACGAGCGGGATCACATTCTACCCCATGGATTCCTACGTGATAGAGTTCAAGGGTACCTTCCCCGAGAACGGCAGGGCCAAAGATGGGCACTACGAGGGGACTGACGACGGCGTAGCGGGCATCTGGGTTCCAGATCTCAAGAAGACTCGCTGCGAGCAGAAGGATCGTGAGCAATCCATTCTCATGCGTGAGCTTGGGCGCGCTGGAGCTGATGACGCGGAGATCCACGCTAAGCAGAAGAGAGTTCTCGACGTGATCTTCCCTGGGATCATGAATGCGATGGGCCTTGAGGCCGCGATCGACGACGCTCAGGGTCAGGGCCGCGCCCCAGCAGACCCAGCAAGGGCGCCTGAGCCTGCCCCCCAGCGCCCCAGCGCCATCCCAGCGCCGCCTCTCCAGGGAGGACAGGGCGGATCGGGGGCGGCCAGTGGATCCGCGGATGGCGGCGCCGCACCCGCTGCGCCGGCAGGGGGGCGCCGCAGGGCTTCTACCAAGGCGGCTGCAGCGCCTGCTGCGGGCGGCGGCGACGCGGCAGCAGGGACCGCTGCCGCCAGGAAGAGGGGCCGCCCACCATCGAAGAACCTTTTGGGCGAGACGGACGACCTGGAGAGGCGCTTCTACACTGCATCGCAGACGGATCCGCTCATCTGGGGCTCGGAGCAATCCACTCAGTTGGCCCTCATCGCCGACGTGCTGAAGCAGTTTCCGACCAAGATCAGGGGCCTCACCACTGAGGCGGAGATCAAGACGTACAAGGTGGCGCAGAAGAAGCTGCAGATCATCGCAGACATGATGACCTTCAACGACGTGGGCGCCGATGCGTTTCGCGAGAAGTGCCAGGGTGGGCCCCAGAGGCGAGAGTAAGGAGGCGTTGCCCTGCAACCACGCGCCCATGCAGGAATGGAGGTAGGAGGTAGGAGGTAGGAGGTAGGGGGTAGGAGGTATGATGTAGGAGGTAGGAGGTAGGAGGTAGGAGATAGGAGGGGGTGTCGGGCGGGATGATGGCGTTGTGCCGGGGGCGCGCGGTTGTTGGCAACGCCTGCTTGAACTCTCGCGCCCGCTGGGGCTACAAGGTACGATGTTGCCGTGACTGCAATGGCGTTGGAGCCCGTGGTCACTCTGAAGGTGCCTGCTCACTTGCAGTGGAGGCGGCTTAAGGGCGACCTTGAGCGCAGTGGTGATGAGATGTCGCCCGCCCAGTTCTTCCAGCGCATCTCCACGCCCGAGCTGAAGAAGATCGGCCTGTCGCCGTCGGCCGTTGCGGAGGAGCAGGAGGCCTGTATTGCTGACCGCTTGAAGGACGTGCTGAAGTCGAAGAATAACGCTGGCGCTCGGAAGAAGCTAGCCAATCTCTTGTCAGATGAAGTCGTTGTTGACTTGGTGGAAGACGTGGCCGAGTGGTGGGCGTCGCTGGACGCCCTGTTCACTGCGGAGACCGTCGAGTGGGACGACATCGAGACTATGTCTGCTGTCTTGAACGACGCCGTCGGGGTCGTGGAGGCGTCTCTCCCTGGGAAGCCGAAGTCCAATTCATTGGGCTCGGCCCTCACGATGTGGCCCGTCGGCAAGGACGTGCTTGCCCAGGGCCGACTTCTTGCATCCAAGGCCAAGGCGACGCTCGAGAGTTTGGCGCCGTTGATGTCAAAGGCGGAGGTCTTCAACAAGGCCGTTGAGCGCTGCATGCCAGAGCTGTCCGTGACCGAGCTGTCCTGGATCAACCGCGCCACGGACGCTCTCACGAACCTCCAGAAAGACTACAGCGCTGCGCTTAGCGGAGGCATCCAGACCTACATCCCAGAGGCGAGGGACACTCGGTTCGTCGAGGGAACTGGCAAGTGGGTGGACTTGGTTGCGAATGGATGGGTTAAGATTCTGAGCACCGTGGTGAGGGAGGATTTGTCTGCCGCTGATCTTCGGCGTTGGTTGCATGAGACAGCGGAGATGCGCAAGATTCTGGCGATGGCGACCGACTCGATCGAGGATGCGCACCAGCTGTACAACCCAGTCTTCATTGACAAGGCCAGCGCTTGCAATCACGCGGCCGGCATCACGAACACCCTGGCGAAGTGGGATGAGCTTCTGTTGGCGGAATCTCCCGACAAGGACGTCAAGCTTCCGAAGTTCCAGAACTTGCAGTCGTTGATGGTCTCATGCTTCAAGTCATTCCCTCAGGATCTTGCTCCTTGGACCTCGATGGCGCCTCCAAGCGTGTTGCTCAAGGCGCCCGCGTTCGTGGATGGCCCCCACATGGACGCCTTGAAGAGTGCGATCAGGAAGAGCGGCGAGACCTATGTCAACGAGATCTACGACGCAGCGAAGCAGATCTTCGGAGAGACCCCGACGTCCTTCTCCTGCGAGCGCCTAAAGATGAATGATATCAACTTCCTGGTGTCGGTTCAGCTTCCCCGCAAAGCAGTCGAGGGAGCAGTTCATTGGGCTGGCCAAGTCGGCGACGAGGCGCTTCGTGTTCAGCTCAACTTCCTGGACTCCATCGTCTGCGCGATCGCATGCGCGGCCAAGCTTCACCAGTTGGTCCTGCTGCGGAACACGGCCACATCATTCAAGGACTTGCTGCTCACCGACGACCACGTGACTGCTTGGAGGGACGCGGGGGTCCGCATGGGGCACCTGCAGAGGCTGGTGGAGGACCCCGCTACAGCTGGCATGATGGAGAACATCAGCGAGTCGCCCTTCCACCTTGGTCGGCTGGATGGCCTCATCGACGTTCTCTCGTTCGGGCGTTCGGTCCTCGACGAATCCAGGCGCCTCGAGGGCGTGTTCAGGGAGTGCCTGACGAGCGACGTCACGAGGATGTCGGAGACCATCGAGCAGAAGACTCCCGCCTACCCCTCGACGGGGCTGGTTGGGAACAAGAAGGTCATCCAGCAGATCATCTCGGCTGAGCACTCGTCGCTGAGCCAGGTGAGCGTCGCCCTGAAGCACGAGCTGAAGCTGGCCAAGATGATCGGCAAGCTGTTCCTCGTGCTGCCTGCAGAGATCAGCACGCGTGCCGGCAAGGCAGTCGAGTGCGCTCTCGCGACGGTCGCTCTTGGCGCGGTCTTCAGCTCGACAGAGGTGGACTGGCCGGCCGCAGAGTTCGAGGAATCAGCCGATTGCAGCAGGGCCGTGGCGAAGCTCCGCGCGGACTTGCGCAAGACGGGCTGGGAGGAGACTGAGGAGATCACGTTCCTCCTCAACCAGTGGCGCGACGGCCAGTGGCTGAGCAAGGCTGTGGACACGGCCGCGGCCGACCAGGCCAAGCCCATGCCCATGGAGCCAGACACGCAGTACGACGCGCTCGCGTCGGAGCTCTTCGGCGACGACGGCAAGGGGGACTTTGGGGCCAGGGGCGCAGTAGGTGGAGGACGGAGAAGATGGAGACGAGAAGGAGCAATAGGAAGAGGAGGAACTGGAGGAGAAAGATAGAGCAGGAGGAGGAGGAGGGGGAGGAGGAGGAGGAGGAGGAGGAGGAGACCACCACCTCCTCCTCCTCTCTTCTTTCGGATTTCTCCTCCTCCTCCCCCTCCACCTCCTACTCCGCCTCCTGCTCCTCCACTTCGCCCTCCTCCTCCTCCTCTCCTCCTTCTCCCCCCCTCCCTCCATCTCTCCCTCCCTCCCTCCCCCCCTCCCTCCTCCTCCCTTCCTCCTGCTCTGCTCTTCCTCCTCCTCCTCCTCATCCTCCTCCTCCTGCTCCTCCTGCTCTTCCGCCTCCTCCTCCTCCTCCTCCTCCTCCCCCGCCCTCTTGCGATGGCCACGAGGACGCCGCTCCCTCTGCTGTGCCGGAGCGCAGGGCGAAGCTGGCGGATCGCCTGGCAGCCGCGCGCAAGAAGCGCAAAGTGTAGCGAGGCTGCCAGCCGCCAGCTCGACGCCGAGCCCGACGCCGAGCCCGACGGTCGAACCCGACGCCGAGCCCGACGCCCAGAGCGACACCCAGCCCGTCGCCCAGTCCGACGCGGCCCCCGTCGCCCCGCCCGACGCCCAGCCCGACGCCCAGCCCGACGCGGGCCTATTGCCGTTTTAGTTTTGCTGTTTCAGACGGGCTCTAGCTGAGGAGGAGGAGGAGGATCAGAAGGAGGAGGGGGATGAGTTGGATGAGGAGGGGGAGGACGAGGAGGAGGAGGAGGAGCAGGAGGAGGGGGAGGATATGATGCTGATGATGATGTTGATGAGGATCAGGAGGAGGAGGAGGAGGAGGACGAGGAGGAGTCGGAGGCGGAGGACGAGGAGGAGGAGGACGAGGAGGAGGAGGAAATGAGCAGGAGGAGGAGGAGGAGGAGGAGACGATGAGGAGGAGGAGGAGTTGACGGAGGAAGAGGAGGAGGGTGATGAGGGGGAGGAGAAAGCAGAGCTCCGTCTGCGTGCCCCAGCCTGTCCCTGTTGCAGCCTGTTGCCGTTGTACAAACACGGCAGGCCCTCGAGCATGCGGTTCGCTCAAGGAGGCTTGCGGTGGCTGATCGAGGGACCGAGATGGGGCGAGTGTGAAACATGTTTTCTGCTAGCCCCCCCCCCACCCCCCATCTCTACCTTCTTACTCTCCTAGTCCTCCTCTTCCTCCTTCTCCTTCTGGTCATCCTCCTACTCATTCTGCTCCTCCTCTTCCCCCACTCGCTCTATTCTTCCCCGGGGTCTTTTTCCTTCAGCCCCGCCTCTCTCTGTCGTCGTCGTCGTCGTCGTCTGCCTTTGTCTTTCGGCTGCTGCTTTATCCGCCGCTGCCGCTGCCCACTCTCGAATCGTACCTTCGTTCGCGCTCTCGATTGCGAATGCGGCGCCGACCCTTGCAGTTGCGCTCTACACCAAGGAATTTGAAGGGCATTGATACCATACCGTCGTATTATTTAGTATGATTATAATAATGATATTATTCATTTTGAATATTTATGAAAACGATGTTTGTCATTTATTTTATTTTCTCTGGGCTTTGAATTATCATTCGTGTTAGGTGCCAAAGAGTGTGGTATGCCTGAGCTGCCCAAGCAATAGCGGCCCCAGTCGGGCCCGTGACATACGACCAGATCTTCGGGCCTGCAATGGTCAATCTCGTCTTCAACAGGGCCCACGTGCGTCGAATGCGCTGATGGAGGCGAGGCTGGTCTTGCCAAAATCTGATCCATTGTCGCAAGGACTGCGCCCGAAGCTGGACTCCAGGATCCGCTCCGCCGAACGTGGAGCCAAGTAGCGTGGTTAAGCAGCGGCCCGCAGCTTGACCAGTGGCGGCTGCTGCTGCCTGCCCCCTCCATCTCAACAGCGCATGCCGAACCAGCCCTCGTACTTGATGGCCATGGACTCCCTGGGGCAAGGCGCCTGTGGCCCAGAGGCCCATGGCTATACGTGCCTGCTGAGCTGTGTTGCGCATCTTGACTATGCGCTTGGTCCTGGCAGTAGCCGCTCGAGCCCGTTCACCAGCTTTCTTCTGAACTCTACGCGTGCCAGCTGCCATGTCGATGCCCAGATCGGCGGCCGTCGTCGCAGCCGAGACAGGCACTCCGCGGCGTCGAAGATTGCGCTCCAGCTTCACGCGCACTTGCTTGTTGTTAGAGAGGACGACGGTCTTGTCGGAGACAGGGAGCTCAGCATGATCCAGAGCAACCTTCAATTCTGCTCCCGCCCTGGTCAGTCGCTGTAACACTGACGCTGCCGTGCCTTCCGATCTTGCCACCGTGTCATCCACAAAGGCCCACATCGTAGCTCCCTCCGCCCGTCTCTGGGCGTGCGTGAGGATGGGGGGCAAGAACAGCCTCGCCAGTATGACACCGCGAGGGGGGCCTGCAACAATTCCTTGGAGAGCGTAGATGGGCTCAGCGGCCCAGCCCTGTGCTCGCAGAATCCTGGGGCTAAGAAAAAGCTGAACCTCCAACAGGAGACATATGGCAGGGAACTCCTCATCCAATCCAACCTCGATGAGCCTAGCCAACTTCACATGGTTATAGAACTTCGCCAGGTCCATTATCAGGGTGCCGACTGTCAGGCCCACGGTGACAGCCGGCTCATCTAGAAAAGCTCGATGCAGTGCTGCAGTGAGGGCCGATGAGCCTTTCATCGCAGTGCACCAGAAGTCGTGCAATCCATCACTCCACATATCTGAAGCGGCTCCTCTGATACGACTCCAGGTGCGGGCGATGTGAGGGAGAACGCCCAGTACTCTATCACCTCCTGCTTTCTTCGGGGCCATGGCCGCCAGAGTGGCCATGACCTGAGGTGGCCAGACACCTTGAGTCTCGATGAGATTGAGCATGTCGGTGTACTGCTGGAGAGCCACATCAGGTAGGCGCAGCATATCACGTGGTCCAATCATGTCCACACCCTTCGCCTTGGAGCCTGGCATGCTAGGCAGGGTGCGCTTCAGCTGCTCCAGTTGGATGTCATCAGGGGGCTCCTCCCTAGTCTGACGACGAGCCTTATCCAGAGCATCCAGAATCTGCTGCTTGGTCTCGCGAGGTGTCCAAACCTTCTCCCACTCCTGCCGCTTAGCACCCATGATCAGGTTCGGGTTGGAGACCGTCGTGCCGCTGATGTAGATCTCGAGCCGCTGTTGCTCCTGCGGCTTGACCTGTCGATGTAGGACTCCAGGCTTCGCCTTCCGCATGTCAGCGAGCCAACCCGAGCACTTCTTCTTGGACTGGTACGCGGCATGCGCGGCAGCGCGGGTGCGGCATATGAGTTCAGCTCGTTCCTCGTCGTCCAGGATCGTGATGGTGCGTGCCAGCTCAGCCCATCTGAATACCTCATCATCCTCGACCTTCGGCAGCAGTAAGTCTCTCTTCCCGTGGAAGTCCGTGGCCCTCAGCTGCAATAGGGTGAGGCTGGACCTTGCGAGGTTCTCATGCTTCTGATGCTTGCACAGCGCGATAATCTTCTTAACCAATGTCAAGGTAATAGCCCACCATTCGGCAGGCTCGTGCTTCATATGAGTACGTCCAGGGCAAGCCGCAGTCTTCTTCCATTGGAAGTGAACCCCATTTGCTCTACCAGAGTAGGCGGCTTGCTTCGCTACAGGAACCGCATGATGATTCAACACCGTTGCCTCGAAGGTCGACATCCACTTGGCATAGCGGGTCGAAACAAGCCTGGTCGCCTCAGGGCCCCTCTCATGCAGAAAGTGAGGAGGTAGACCCCAAGATAGCTCAGAAGGCCTCGGTTGGGTCGCATTCATCCTGGCCGCAGATCTATCAGTACAGGCCCCGACCTTGTCGTGCAGCTCTAAGGGGGGGCGAGCACGCTCCCACGATTTTGGGCCCGTGGCCACCCGTGTGGGCTCTTGGGGTCCCCGCCCCCCTTGGCAGCATAACATCCAACTCCTGAACCATTCCACGACAAACCAATGGGGCCCCCATCCAGCAGGCGAGTCCTCCCTGTCGGGTGCTGCGAGCCTGCCTTCTCTGAGGGCCCAGCCGTGTCGTAGGTGCTCAGCGCGTCATTCACGTAGAGAGTGCTCCACTTGTCTCTCGAGGGGTCCGTAGCGTCTATGCCAGTATCTGTAACAACTCCATCCGCTCCAGCCACTACGTTGCCGAGCAGCTCCGAGGGGGGCGAGCGCGCTCCCACGATTTGAGGCCCGTGGCCATCCGTATGGGCTCTTGGGGTCCCCGCCCCCCTTACTGGCATGACATGCATCTCCCCGACCGTCCCACAATAGACAGATTGGGGCCCCTCCAGTAGGCGAGACTTCCCTGGCGGGAGCTGCGAGCCTGCCTTCTCTGGGGGCCCCCGCGTGTCGTAGGTGCCCAGCGTGCCATTCTCGTCGGGAGTACTCAGCATGCTCCTCATGTCGTCCTGATGCCTCCTCCAGAGATCCAGAGTAATGGCGAAACCGACGCCGTCCACATAGTCAACATCCGCTGCGCCCAAGACTGGAGGCGCTGCTGCCTCCTCCTGGGACTGGGTGAGCTCATCAAACGCCTCCTGCAGCATGTCGGGCAACTGGTTGCGCCTCTTGTCTAGCGCTGCCTTCTTCCTCAATGGTGTCTTACTGTTGGGGTCCGCCTGTCTCTGCGGCCTGGGGGGGCAAGGCAACTCTGCAGGGAGTGCAAGAGCACGAAATCGCCAAGGCTGAGACTCGCCCGCGCAGACCTCCAGGCCGCAGTGCGTTCCCCACGGTACATCGTGGACCTGACGAATGACCACAGACATCTCCCAGCCGCGCTTCACCACCGCGTAGTCAATGGTCGAACCCGAGCCTTTATCACACGTTGCAGAACCAGGGGCCACCAGAATGGAGCCACCCCGCTCCTCAGGGTAGCCGCTGTCAGCCAGTTGAGACGGCGACATATTCCAATCTGCTACTACAATCCAAGGGTCCGCCAGCATGTCCAAGAACGCGGTGAGTGCAACCATCCGCTCATGAACTGGGCCCGTAATCGAGTGGTGCGGTTCGATATAAAAGGCTATCACGACCAAATTGCCTGTCTTGCGATGCCACGCCATCGGGGCGAAACCATGACACGGATCAACTGCATACATCTGGCGGCTCTGGTGTCTCATAGCGTCGAAGGTGGGGGCAGCCACCGACTTGCGAGCTAGAACCATCTCTCCGCCCGTCGTGCCCTCTGCAGATCGACCCGTCGGCATTGCATAGCATTTGGAGGATCTCCAAGCATCCTTGTCAATCTTAAGAAACTCATGCTGCTGTTTGGCCTGCGAGATATGTGTCTCAACCAAGGCCAGTAGCTGATCGCGCTTGCCAGAGGACGCCACCCACCGCTCAGCCTGAGGGCCCCATTCAGTGATGTTCGAGAAGAACAGCTGGGCCTCTTCCACAGTCGGCTGCGCGGTGACTGGGCTGGCCTCACTACCCCCGCTCTGGCTGAGCAGGAGCACCAGCGCCAGCAGCCACGCCAGCAGCCTTGGTCTTGGAGGTCTCGGCAGCCTGGCGTAGCGAGTCTTCGGAGAGCGACTTGAGCCACTCGCCGTCCAGCGGGGGCTGAGGGGGCACGAGCGCTGGGGCGGTAGCGGACCCTGGGGTCGCAGGCATGGCAGGTGGGGCGCCAGCGCCGCCGCTGCGGCCTGCCTCGACCGATGGCGCCTCATCGCCTCCCTCCTGGCGCCTCCTCTTGGCGACCCGCTCCTGGTCGAAGCGCTTGATGGACTCCATGAGGTTCTGGAGCTTCTGCACCGCCGACTCGAGCTGTGGCCTGGCGGTGTCGAACTCCTTCTTGTACTCCATGAAAGTCTTGCGCTCGTTCTCGTCCATGTCCGCAGGGTCTGCGGTCTCGAAAATGTCGTAGTCGATGATGAGCTTGTTCCGCTGAGGTGCATCGCGTGCCTGCTCCGTCTGTAGCGTGGAGAGCGCCTTCTGGCAGGCGAGCTCCGCCATCGCCTGCTGCTCCACCTTGGACGCGTGCGCCTCTGAGGCCGCCTCGAGGTCGGCGCGGGCCCGAAGCACTCCCATCGCCGCCTTCTGAGTGGCCTGCTCGGTCTTGCGTAGCTCCTGCTTGGCCTTCTGCGCCGCCTCCCAAGCGTCCGTGGGCGGCGGCTTCTTCGCCTGCTGCAACTCCGTCTGGATCGCCGTTGCCACAGCAGGGGGAAGATCAGCCTTGAGGAGGTCGCGCAGCTTCTTCTCATAGGTGTTGGAGGTATCGTTCTTGTGCCTGGCCCCGGAGTTCCATGGCGCCCACAGCTGGACTGTGTGTCCACACTGGCAGACGCAGTCCTGGGCGATGAGCTTGGTGTTCCAGATCCAGTTCTGGCAGCCCTCGCAACGACTCCAGGCGCGGCCATACTTCTTGCCTCCCATGAATGCAGGAACACACTAAGTGAGGGAGCCCAACTCCTCGGTGTAGGCAAGAAACTCTGTCGGACGCAAGCGTCCTGGCACTGCCGCGGAATAGCGGTGTCCGTGAATGCCAATGCGGGCTCAGCCCGCCAAAGCATCAGCCTTGAGCCAAAATGGCTACGGAATGAGGAGGAGGAGGAGGAGGAGGAGGAGGAGTGGAAGGAGGAGGAGGAGGAGGAGGAGGAGGAGGAGGAGGAGGAGGAGGAGGAGGAGGAGGAGGAGGAGGAGGAGGAGGAGGAGGAGGAGGAGGAGGAGGAGGAGGAGGCGGAGGAGGAGGAGGAGGAGGAGGAGGAGGAGGAGGAGGAGGAGGAGGAGGAGGAGGAGGAGAGGAGGAGGAGGAGGAGGAGAGGAGGAGAGGAGGAGGAGGAGAGGAGGAGGAGGAGGAGGAGGGGAGGAGGAGGAGGAGGAGGAGGAGGAGGAGGAGGAGGAGGAGGAGGAGGAGGAGAGGAGGAGAGGAGGAGGAGGAGGAGGAGGAGGAGGAGGAGGAGGAAGGAGGAGGAGGAGGAGGAGGAGGAGGAGGAGGAGGTGGAGGAGGAGGAGGAGGAGGAGGAGGAGGAGGAGGAGGAGGAGGAGGAGGAGGAGGAGGAGGAGGAGGAGAGGGAGGAGGAGGAGGAGGAGGAGGAGGAGGAGGAGGAGGAGGAGGAGGAGGAGGAGCGGGAGGAGAGCAGGAGAGGCAGGAGGAGGAGGAGCAGGAGCAGGAAGCAGGAGCAGGAGCAGGAGCAGGAGCAGGAGCAGAGCAGGAGCAGGAGCAGGAGCAGGAGCAGGAGCAGGAGCAGGAGCAGGAGCAGGAGCAGGAGGAGGAGGAGGAGGAGGAGGAGGAGGAGGAGGAGGAGGAGGAGGAGGAACAGTGAGGAAGTCGCAAGCTCAGGAGCGAGCTTTGGGTGGCCAGATCCGCTAAGGTGGAGCTTGCAGGCGGGGCCACTGTCATGTTCTGTCCTTGCCCCTCGCACTGTTTCTCGTGCGCCCTATCGTTAGGCGGTAATGGACACCAGTGGGGCCAATAGGAGCCAATAGGAGGAAGAATCAGCAGCAGGCGGAGGAGGGGAGAGGGGGATGAGGGATATGGGGAGGAGAGAGGAGGGAGGGGAAGACTTTGCGCAGGATGCGTAAGCAGAGGTGGGAGGCGTGTGCGCTGGGCCCATACGTTCACGTGGGAAAACGGGGGGTGAGAAAGCGGAAGCGGACGGAGGCGAAGGAAAATGGTCCAGAGAGGCCCACGGAGGAGGGGGAAGGGCAGCAGCAGGCAGCAGCCCATGCGGGTTCAGCGGCCTGACGGGCACCAGCCTGCGGGGCCCCAAGATTAGCGGCGAGCAGCGCCATCGCCACACCTCGCTTCAGGGCCGCGGCCGCGGCCAGTTGGCACCGCAGCTCGGCCAGCTGCTCCCCGCGGCGCGGGCCCTCCGGCGGTGTTGCGGTCGCCAGGAGCCATACTTCGCGACCCCGCTCGCCCGTCAGGCCCAGGCTTCGGGCGCGGGCCCGGTCCGCGCGGTGTCAGCCGAAATCGGCTCTGCGACCGACTCGCCCATATGCGTATGTAGGGGGCCCTTGCCAGCCGGATCTCCGGGCACGTCCCCGTCCAGCACCGCCCCCTCTGAGACCTCCGCGTCTGGTTGGTCCAAAGAGGCACGCGCTGCTCCTTGGGCATCTCGGAACCCACGTGTTCGCGGCACCACTGAGCCATCTCGTCCTGGTGATGGTTGTGACGTCGGAAAGTACCAGGGTCTTTTCTTCTTCTTCCTCCTCCTCCTCCTTCTTCTTCTCCTCCTCCTCCTCCTCCTCGTACCGCAGAGCGCCGCAAGGGCGCGCCAGTGGGCCCTGCCGCCTGTAGGCTGCAGGGCTCATACCTTCCTCCTTGCCCATCCTCGTTCCCTTTCGCCTCCTTCCTCGCCTGCTTCCTCCCCCACATCCCTCCTTGGGAAGGAAACCACCGAAGAAGGTTACTGCTGTTGCTCTTTGCATTGCGCCTGCTCCTCAGACGGCGGTGCAATACCAGGAATTGGTCTCCGAATTCCGAGCTCAGCTGTAGAAGTAGCAACTGGATAGATACCGTCACCTTTGTCATGACCTCTTCCGCGATCTCGGTGGCCCTTGACCAGGGCCAGGACCTGAACCTTCAGTTCTCGGCTTGGAAAGTGATCGCATCCCTCGATGCTGCTCCCTCGACAGAGCCTTTGGCCGAAGGCGCCAATACTGGGGCGAGCAGCGGCAGCCGCGCGGGTCGCTGCTGCCTTGACTGCGCGGATGCGGTCGATCTCCACCTGGATGTATCTTTTTTGTGCCTCCCTAGCGCGAGGCCGAACTCCTCAGTGGCGAAAAACCGTGAATGACCGCATGCCGACCTGCCTGAGGTCCGTCATGGTGGACGGCCGGCGCTTGAACATGAACGGTTTCGGGAGAAAGACCGGGTACAGTCAACCATGATAGTAAGGATGGGGCAACTTTCCAAGGCTATCCTTGCATCCTTGCCCCTTCGGTATTCGGCATCCTTCAGTATTCTGCTGCGCTCCACACGGAAGCTCGGAAATCATGACATCGGAGACAAGAGATAGTAAGCTGCGGTAGCCCGACGAGTGCAGAATGATGCGGACTTTTAGGATGCCTGGATTTGTAGTTTTGGCGACTGTCAAATATACGGCGCGCCCGTAGTTGGTGATCTGCTTTGCAACCCAATCCAGACGTGCAACGACCAGGGGAGGAGTATGGAGGAGAAGGAGGAGGAGGCAGAGGAGGAGGAGGAGGAGCTGAGAGGAGGAAGGCGGAGGATGAGAGGAGGAAGGAGGAGGAGGAGAAGGAGGAGGAGAAGGAAGAGGAGGAGGAGGAGAAGGAGGAGAAGGGCGCAGGAGGAGAAGGGTGAGGAGGGATGAGGAGGAGGAGGACGAGGAGGAGGAGGAGGACGAGGAGGAGGAGGAGGAGGAGGAGAGAGAGAGAGAGAGAGGACGAGGAGGATAATGACGAGGACGAAACGAGGACGCGGAGAAGGAGGGGGACGAGGAATCGTGAGGAAGAGAAGGGAAGATACCTTTCAACGCCGCGCTGGGATGCCCGCAGCAGGTGGCCGACGTCCGCCCCATGGTCCAGCAGCAGCAGGCCTGGTAGTCCACATCCGGTGGGGCTGGTCGTCGTCGACGACGACGACGACGTCGCTGTCGCCATCGCCGTCCTCGTCCTCGTCCTCGTCTTCTGTCGTCGTTTTCTGTCGTCGCCGTCTGTCGTCGGCCTCTGTCGTCCTCGTCCTCTGTCGTCGTCTTCTGTCGTCGTCGGCTGTCGTCGTTCTCTGTCTGTCGTCCTAGCGAATTTCGTCTTCAGTGCCGTCTCCTCCAAACGCCCCTCCATGCACTACTCGCTGCATCTGCCCTGTTTGTGCACTCGAGATGCTTGCTGAGCGCTCCGGGCCGCTTAATGGAGATAATTTGCTTGCCATGTCGGCGGCTGCAGTCTGCCGCGAGCATGAAACGAATCCAGGTAGTGATAGCCGAGTAACAGACAATCATAGAGCCTAGTCTGGTAAAGGCGGGGGCCATCATGCAGTTTCAGCCTGATTTTGCGATTGTCGCCAGGCATTTTTTTTCGGTAGCAACGTGCCGCTTTCGAACCCGCCGCCTGAGAACAGTCAGCCGCCTCCTCCTCCCCGACGCCAATCCTTCCTCGACCTCCTCACTAGTCGTCGTCTTCCTCTTCCTCTCCTTCGTTTCCTTCTCTTACCCCAGAGGACAGCGGACCCCTGCGGAGCTACCACCACCATTTCTCTTACTCGTTGTCCTCGTTCTCTCTCTTTGTTTCTCCTCACCAACGCAGTGCCCTGTTATCCTGCACATCCTCATCCTCGTCCTCCTTGCTGTCTCCTCAGTGCTTCGTCCACTCATCCCCGAACTCTGTCATTTAGCATGGGCTCGTTGAGTCCTTCTCCTCCCCATTCCCCTCCTCTTCTTCCTCCTCCTCCTCCTCCTCCTCCTCCTCCTCTTCCCAATGCTCCTTATGGCCATCGTCTTTGTCTTTATACCTCCTCCCCCCAAGTGACTCATCTTCCTCCTCCCGTCCCTTTCCTTTCCTCCCTCCTCCCTCCGTCCCTCCCTCTCTCCTCCCTCCCTCCCCCCCTTCCCCTCCCTCCTCCTCCTCCTCCTCCTCCTCGCGCTCCTTTTCCTCTTCCTCCTCCTTCCCCGTAGCCGTTTTCGCTCAAGACGTGAACTCCACCCCGTCCCGACCCCCGAGGCCCGAGGTCGAGGCGGAAGGGCAGCCCCCTCCACAGGTCTGGCTACCTCGGCCAGATTTTGGCGCCACGATTTTCTTCCAAGCCGCCCAGAGGGGCCACCGCCGCCATAGCCTCCGCCTCCTCGTGTGCGTCTGCCTCTCCGCGCAGGCAGCATGGCGCGGGACGCGCAGGGTGCGGGACAAGCAAGCCGAAGTGAGTGTGAGGGTCGAGATCGCCGCTCCGCCAGGAACCAGACACGCTACAAGAGAAGTTACCAGATCTGTGCAACGCCATCGTGTGGGGGATGGTCATGGGCAGATCTCCAGCACCGCCATTTCGGGAAATGCGGTGCCAGTCTTGCAGCTTCGTCGGCACCAGCACCAGGCGCAGGCGAACAATCCCGTTCTACATCTAAGAGCAGATTCGACAGGTGGACCCGTATTGCAGTCCACTGCGATGACAACCAGGCTGGCGAGACGGACAGCCCGAATGACCTGGACCCCGTTGCCGTCTGTACCAAGGGTTCGAGTGAGCCCAGCGGGAGATCCAGCAGTTGGAGGCCAAGCCCAAGCTCGCAGCATCGGCAGCGGCGGCGAAGCACACCGACAAGAGCGACGAGGCGACAGCGGCCACCACGCTCGAGGCACTCGTTAAGGTCAGGTTCGGTGAAGTGCAGACCCCTCCAAAGTTCCAGCAGGAGGTCAACGACACGGCGACGAAGCTCAACGCGGAGTTCAACAAGGCAGCTGCCGCTGCCGCATCCGCCGCGGCCGCGCAGAGCCCGACCGATGGAAATCAGCAGCCAACGGCCGCGGCAGGGCCGCCGCCAGGCGCCGGGGGGGCAGCAACGCCAGCGGGCTGAGTTGACGACGACACCGAGTTCACGGACACCGAGGAGCCGAAGGGCGGGGAGGTCGGCAGCAAGCGCATTGTCCAGTCGGTCAAGAAGGCCAGCCAGGCCCCCGCCCATGGCTCAGTGGGGCCAACGGCTTCAGCCGCCAGCCGCTGCCTTCGGCAGCTGGGCAATGCGGCGACCCTCTCGGCCACAGTCGCCGCGGCCGCGGCAGAGAACTTCCCGTGTGGGGAACGTCCGAATCGTTTCAAACAGTGGCAGCTGTTGGAGGATCGCCCAGAATTTCGTCAAGTCCGAATTTGATTTTCGACAGTGCCAGACTGCAGGTTGTCAGGAAACCAAGTTGTTAGGGCTTGAATGTGTGAGAGCAACCCAGTGGTGTACCCAGAACGGCTGGAACGGTGTGTGTTTCGGAAAGGGGGCCATATCTGAATGTGGGGCTGTCATTCAGGGAACCGTCGTCCTCGTCCGTCAGGGGCTCGCCCTGGGGATTGCCAAGATAGATTTGGAGGCCGATGCGCCTTCAGGAAGGGTCGCCGCGGCGGCGTTCGCGGTGCCAGGTCATTGCCAGTTTTTGTTGTGCTCAGTTTACCTTGCCGACAAGGCCGGCTTGAACGAGTGCAACCCCGGCCTGCCCGCGTGCCTAGCGCAGCTCAGGCAGACGCATCGCATGCCGCCAGTGATCGCAGGCGAGTTTGACGTCTCCCCATCCAGCTCCTCCACAGTGACTTTCGCGCGCGCCCGGGCACGTGTGTGCATGCCCCCGCGGAGCCCACCCTCTGCGCCAAGAAAGCAGCCCTCCTCTTCGACTACGTCCTGATCTCAACGTGTTTCCAGGACTATTCGAGGGGGCCCGTGGTCCTCGAGGACTACCCCATCAGCCCCCGCGGGCCCGTCGATTTCGACCCGGCCGCGGGGTCGCCCTTCTTGGTCCCCGTGCTGGTTATGCCCTGGAAGCTCCCCGCCAAGACGCCCGTGTGACCTCGACAATGCACGGATGAATGCGTTAAAACTGCTGCCGCCCTGGATCAGGTGGAAGTTTCCCTGGGTCAGCAGATCGGTTTCCGCGCCCTAGAGGGCACCCTGGGCGAAACCTACCAGACGCTCACCGCGGACGCGGTTAGCCGCGTCAGAGGAACGTCCGGCGCGCTCCCTGGAGGCCCGCGTGCGAGGGGTCAAGGGCTTCAGATCAAGCGGGCGCCAGCGATCTTTTGTTGGCCCCCTCCGCTGACATAAGAACAAGCTGGCTCACGCGCGCCGAGCCTTAGGACAGGCAGCCTCTCCTGGCTGTTCTCGACGAGAGCGATGACCTGGGGGCCCTCTTGAGAGGGATTAAAGCGCGGCCCAGACAGCGCCGCTCGATTTCGTGAATGACCAGCTGAACCCCGGGGTTGCCAGGGCAACTTTTGACGCGTTATTCGACGGCGCCGACGAAGCCTTCGAAACAGCGGGTTCTGCGGTCGCTTTGGGGGGGTGCCTGGAGGGGCGTTTCGAACCGGCCCCGCCTTCCCTGGCCGGGGGGGGGGGCGGCGTTCGAACCCCCCGTCCCCTCCCGTGACGGAGGGGGGGGGTTAGATCCCTCCCCCCCTCCCCTATTTCTTTTCTCCCACCCACTCCTCGGTTGGCTGCGGCGGCGGCGGGGGCGGCGATTCCCTTTCCTGGGCTGGCGCCAGCGCCTGCGGCGGTGGGCGGCGGCGGCGGGGAGCGTCGGCGAGGGCGACGGTGGTGGTGGTGGTGGTGGTGGGTTGTGGCGGTGGTGGCGGTGGCGGTGGTGGCGGTGGAGGTGGTTGTGGTGGTGGTGTGGTTTGTTGTCGTTGTGGTGGTGGTGGTGGTTGTGGTTGTGGGTGGTGGCGGTGGTGGTGGTGGTTGGTGTTGTGGTGGTGGTGCGGTGGTGGTTTGTGGTAGTGGTGGTGGGTTGTGGTGTTGTTTGCGGTGGTTTGGTGGTGGTGTGGTGGTGGGTGGTGGTGGTGGTTTGTGGTGGTGGCAGTGGTCTGTGGAGGTGGTGCTGGTGGTGGTGGTGGTGGCGGCGGTGGTGGTAGTGGTGTGGTGGTTTGTGGTGGTGGTGGTGGTGGTGGGTTGTGCGGCTGGTAGTGGTGGTGGTTGTGGCGGTTGTGGTGGTGGTGGCGTGGTAGATTGTAGTGTTAGTGGTTGTGGGTTTTCGGTGGTGGTGGTGGTGGTGAGTTGTGGTTGTGGTGGTGGTGGTGGTGGTGGTTGTGGTGGGTTGGTCGTGGTTGTGGTGGTGGGTTGAGGCGGCGGTGGTAGTGGTGGTGGTGGTGGTAGTGGTGGTTATCGTCGCAGCGCCCCCGCCGTCTTAGGCGCCGGCGCCGGCGCTGCTGGCCGCCGCCAGCGCCGGCGCCGGCGCCAGGGGGGGCGGGGGTTTAAACCCCTCGGCGCCAGAGGGGGGTTTGAACCCCCCCCGGGGGCTGCGTCTGGACGTCGTCGCTGCGTCCTCGCCGCCGGCGCTGCCGACGGCCGCCGGCGCTGGCGCCGGGGCGCTGGGGGGTCGAGCCCACCCCCTTAAAGGGGCGCGGGGGGGGGGGGTTCGGGGGGGGCTAGGGGGGGGGGGGCTTTGGTTTTTATCTGGCGGCGCCGAGTGTTGGGGGGGGCCCGCCCCCCGGTTCGAAAGGCGCCGCCGAATGTTCCGAAGACACGCGCCCGTGAAACGCGTTCTCTCCTCGATCGAGGGGCAAGCCAGCGACGCCGCTAAATTGAAGATTCGGGTTGACGCCAGCATGAATGGGGCCGCGAGTTGTCCGAGGACCTCGCCTCCTGGAGACCTCGTAGAACATGGAAACCAGGCGAAGGCAAGTGGGCGGGGCGTCCGTCTGAGTTATTGCGCGCTGAAGCAGATGGATTACCCGGCATATGGGCGACCGAGGGCCGCGATGATCTCAGCCGACAAAAACGACCCGACCCAGAAGCTGTCGCGGAGCTCGAACGCATCGCGGCCGCATTTTTTTTTTTTTTTGGGGGGGGTTTTCGGCTGCCAGGGGACTAAGTCACGACGCGGCGTCCACGCATGAAGGCTTTCGCCTTCGGCATCATGCGATGCTGCCGCCGCTAGAGCTCGAGCTCGTCGCCTGCTTCCCCAGCGCCTGCGAAGCGGTTGGTCCCTCCCCGGGTCAGGCGCGCGCCACCGTCTCGACCTTGTTTCCCGTGCGGGTGCAGCAGGCAGATTCAGATCATCCAAGTTACGGTGGCATTGGCCTTGCGACAGCGGTTCGGAGGGCTCGCGCCCGCGCGCGACAGCGCGTTGCCCGAATTTGAAAACGAATAAGAGGAAATACCTGCCCCGCCCGTGCTCTCGATCAGTCGCAGTCAATTTTTAACCAGGCCATGGCCATCATGGCCTGTAATCAGCACGGATGCCCGAGGCGCGCAGCGAGCCGAGGCCTGGCCATTTTTGCGGGAAGCCCGAAGTTTGGAATGCCCGCGGGCTGCAGATTCGCGACCTGCATCGCCCAGGTGTTTTGCCTTCTCCTACCCAATGTCTTGCTCCTGGACGACCCGAATGTAGAGCTCCACATGATCATGAATGACCTCCTCCTCCAGGCCTATGATAAGATCCCCGAGAACCCTGTCGCCGACGTCTCCTTCGCTGCCCACAGCTTGAGCAAATGATCTAAATCGACTTGGGGTACCGAATAGCCTTGCGCAGCTCCGCGGTCTTAGCGTCGTCGCTCGCAGTTCGGAAGCCTCTCGCCCGACCCCCGGGGGCCGCTAGCAGGGCCGCAGACGCAAGAGCGGGCGGACTCGGCATCCAAGTTAGGCGCTGACTAGCAGGAGTTTGCCAAGCTCCGCACGCGCGAGCGCGCGTTGATGGCGCTGAAGCAGGCGGGCGCAGACGCGCGCACGTTGCGCAGCACAGGCCTGGACCAAGCTATCCATTGCTGTGCCGAGGCAGCGGGATCAACGAATGGCGAAGTCACGCAAAGCCAAAACAACTACCATGGCCCAGCGTGCCCCAGGAGTCCGACCCGTTTCAGATCCCTCAGCCTGTGCCTCCTTGGGGTCCTTGCGTGGGCAGCTGCCCTGGGGCATGCGACATGCCGCCGTGGCATTGCGGTTTGGGGGATAACTGCCCGGCCCTAGCTCAGAGGCGCCACGCGCGTAGATTTCCGTGGAGAAGTTAACGGCGCCCTGAAAACCCACCATGCGACATGGACGTCTTGCCAAGGACCCATCGGAGCCACGATACTCAGCCTCAAGAAGATCAATTGGAGCCTCCAGAACCGATTTGAGATCGAGACCTCCGAGGGCCTGTCGCATCAGCCCACGGTAGTTTCACCGGCGCTGCTCAAGTGCCATCTCGAGGCGGCCTGGATGGCGAACCTCGAGAAGAGAGCGGCCGCCGAGATGGGAATGCCAGAGGATGGGATTGACATCGCAGCTGCCAAGCCAGTCCTGGAGGATCCCATCCTCTCATCATGTGAAAGTGGCAGCCCGATACCATATGTTACCCAATGCCTGTGGGCCAAGACCAGACTCGCGGCCGCAGGGCACGACATTGACGCGGCTTGCCCGGGTGGCCACGGCAGAGGCGACGTTGCGCACTGGTTCGAGCGCCTCTCATCTTCAACTTGAAAAGTGAGCTGATGCCCCCCCTGAGATTTAGAGCATCGAGAAGGGCACCCCGAAGCAACGCCCCTCGCCCACGGTGTTCAATGTCGGCCCCAAGCCTGCGCGGTAGTTGTTTCAAACAAGAGCCCCCCTCTCCTGCATCTGACTGGATGGCCGTGGCAAGAATGGACGAGAACGGCGAGTGCACGGCGCGCCTCTCGGATCAGACGGGAGAGCTGCTGCCGCCGACTTCGCCGGCCGCCATGGCCGCGGGCCATGTGCGCCCCCTCCTCACCTGCCCCCACTCCTACCACATCCGGGCTATCACGAAGTATGGCCAAACGGATTTCGATAGGAAGAATTGTTATGCGGGGCTGGAGTTGCTTGCTAAGAGCAGACGCAGTGCGGGGACTTCTCCTAGGATACGTAAAAGCCCACCAAGACGTAGAGCCCCTCCCCCAAGGATCCAGGAACAATTGCCGGGCCATGGAAAATGGCACCGCCGATGGACTAGCCAAAGCCGCTGCCGCGAAAGCTCGAGGACCTTCGGCCGAGGAGACCCAGGCCTATGATCGAAGCCTTGTTTTTTGTTGGCAGTTTTTTGAAGTTCTCGCGAAGGGCTTGCCGACCTGGCCCGCGATCGCCCCGACACCTGGCAGCGAGGCCTGTGACAAAAGGGCCCACTTTCATGCCCGCTAGCAAGCCCCTGGTGGGTACCGCCGTCATCGCCCCCCCTTCCTGCCTCCGCCCTCCGACCCTCCCAGGGTTCCCGGGCCCGCGGCTGGCGACCCCGCCGAGGGCGCCAAGAGAGACGGCGGCACCGACCACTGGGCCCAAGTTTTTGAGAACCCTTGGCGAGCTCTGCAGGGTCAGAGCTGGGTCCGGGGCCGTCCGCGCGAGGGAAGACGCCCAGAAATGCCCCAAACATTGTGCCAGGCTTTCCTTTTTTTTCCAAGCAGCGAAACGGACACCACGACATATACGTGTTCGATCGCCATGCACTGTTGTGCCGACCCCATCACCTTGGATTTAATGATCAGGGAACCGCAATCTGCGCTCGGGGAGATGCAGTACTGCAGCTAACGGAAGTTAGTCAGGTGCGCTGGTCCTCCCCCTCCTCCTCCTCCTCCTCCTCCTCCTCCTCCTCCTCCTCCTCCTCCTCCTCCTCCTCCTCCCCCTTCTCCCCCTCCTTCCTCCCTCCCTCCCTTCCTCCTTCCCTCCCGCCTTCTCCCTCCTTCATCCTTCACCTTCCTCCTCCTCCTCCTCGTCATCCTCTTCTTAAACCCTCCTCCTATCCTTACTCTTTCCCCCCTCCCCCCCCCCTCCTTACTCCCTCCTCCCTCCTCCCTCCTCATCCTCCTCTTCCCTCCTCCTCCTCCTTCCCCTCCCCTTACCTCCTCTCTCCTCCCTCCATCCTCCTGGCCCCGCCTCCCTCCTCCCTTTTCTCTCTCCTCCCTCCTCTTCCCTTCTCCCTCCTCCCCCTCCTCTTGCTCCTGCCGCCGCCCTTCCCCCCGGGAGGCCCCAGCGGTCGGCCAATACCGCCAGCCAGGCATGCAGCCGGGCGGCTACGGCGGCCAGCATGCGGGTGCAGGAGCGCGCGGCCGACGCGGAGTCGGGGCATGGGCGCGGGCGGGAGCTGGAGGGGAAGGGGGAGGGCGGAGTGGGAGGGAAAAGGGTTAAGAACACTTGTTGTTCAGGGGTTATGCGATTTTTTTCGGTGTTCGAACTTCGGGGGCCCCCGGACGGTGCGGTGACCACACCGTGGTGAGTCTTTGGGGATTCGGGGTCACCGCACGGTTTTGGGACTCGAGTCCCTCTCCGAGGACGTCTCGGGCGACAGGGGCCTCTAGGGTCCCAAGACCGTGCGGTGACGGACCGTGCGGTGAGGTCTCTTGGGGTTTCGAGGTCACCGCACGGTCTGTCACCGCACCGTTTCGGGACTCCAAAGAACAATTTTCTCTGGGTCAAGAAAATTCATTCCTGGGCCCGCCGCGCGAGACATACTCCAGCAACGCCTGGCTGGCTGGTTGGTTGGCTGGCTGGTTGCTGGGTCAACGAACCTAATACAGGCCCCGCGTTTGGGACATCCTCAAACATTCCACGGGAAGGACTGGTTGGTTCATTGGTTGCTTGGTTGGCTGGTTGGTCGGTAGTCAGGCTGAATTCGTATTCGGCTTTCGTGTAAACGAATTCTTATGCAATTGCGAGTGCAACGCAACGCATGCGCTGCACTGCAGTGCAACGCAAACGCAGTTCAATGTCGATGCAGTCCGACACAATGCAATGCAATGAAATGCAATGTAATGCAATGTAATGCAATGCAATGCAATGCAATGCAATGCAATTTCAATGCGATGCAGCGGAGACGGAACAACCTGCACGTCAAAAGGCAACGCCTCTGGACAGAACAAATACTAGTCCACTCCTTCCGTCATGTGACAACGCCACGGGGGTGAACAGACCATACTATCCCACTCCGCTCGCCACGTGGCAACGCCAGACAGAGTATTCCGTTCTACTTGTTACGTGGCAATGCCGCGGGGGCCGAGACCCCCAATTCCACTCTTACTCGCCACGCGGCACCGCCTGGAAGCGGAGCAGTACGATCCCACTGTGCCCTTCACGTGGCAACGCCTCGGGGCGGAGCAATTCAAATCTACTACTCGCCACGCGGGAACGCCGGGGGGGGAATACAACACTCGACCTGCCACGCGACAGCGCCGCGGATGACGACGATGACGACCACGATGACAACGACGACGACGACGACAGACGGCTGACGACGAGGGGCGACGACGACGACGGACGAGGACGAACGAAGCACGACGGACGAAGGACGACGGAGACTACGACGATGACGATGATGACGATGATGACGAAGAAGACGACGACGACGAAGACGACGACGAAGACGAGGACGACGAAGACGACGACGACAAAGACGACGGTGACGACGACGGAAGGAATTGAACGGGATAGGATGGGGTGGGATGGGATGCGATGCGATCAGATGGGATGGAATGGACCGGAATGGAATGGAATGGAATGGGCTGGAATGAAACGGAACGGAGCTACCGCCGCCTGTCGGTGCTCTTGCTCTCGTTCCGTTCTTTTCTATTCAAAGGGTGATGCCATTCCGCCGACCCCCAAAGCAAGAAAGAAGTCCCCGTGTGAGGCCTTCTGGGGGCCTCTTCCAGGCCTCTTGCGCGCATCTTCGGGCCTGTTGGGAGTTTCTTGGACGCCTGCTGGCGGTCTCGGGGGTCCTCTTGGGGGCGGGGGGCTCGGAATGTCAGTTCGAGTTGTCTCTCTTGGGCCCCCTTTTGGGGGCCCTGTTGGTGCCCTTTGGGGCCATCCTGGGCGACTCTTGGGCTCTCTTTGGGCCCTCTTCGGCAGTCTTTGGGCCCTCTTGGGGGCTTCAAGGGCTCTCTTGGAGCGATCTCTGCAGCCTCTTGAGCCGTCTTGGACGTTATTAAGACCAAACGTGCGAACATGCTAAGGTATACGCTTCCCTCAAGCAGAGGCGAAGCGTCCTGGCTCGCCTATAGGCCTACCAAACAATGTTCTAAGAGCCTTGTGTGGTTCCCACGAAATGTTCTTAGAACATTTCTGGCTGGGGCTATCTTGTTTTAACCCATCGGGTTTATGTTCTAAGAACATTGTTTTTATTATTAGAACCTTTTTTGGTCCTGAGAACATGTCGTGGTAGGCCGATCGGAATGCTGGGACGGTCGGTCCCTGCTCAATTCCCCTCGGAATTGGGACGATGTTTGTTATTGTGGCCCTCTAGGGGGTCGTCTCCGCGGCCTCTTGGGCAGTCTTAAGGCCCTCGTGGCTGTTTTTGAGGCATCCTCGGCGTGCTGGAGCAAAGCTTGCGCCAGCTTGGAGGGCATCATGGGCATCTCGGAGGCCGCGGGGTGTGGATCCGGAGTCCCGGAGGGCCCCGGAGGGGCGTTGACGAGCTCTGTCCCGCCCCCCCCTCCCTGGGATGGGACTTTGGACCCCCAAGGGAGGGGGAAAGGGAAGGGGGACTGCCAACTATCTAACACGCCTCTCCATCCCAGTCTGTTCCATTCCATTCCGTCGTGGTCTCCGTCGTCGTCTTCGTCGTCTTTATCGTCGTCGTCTCCGCCGCGGCCGTCGCCGCCGCCGCTGCGGCCGCCGCCGTCGTCTTCGTCGTCGTCGTCGTCGTCGTCGTCGTCGTCGTCGTCGTCGTCGTCCTCGTCCTTGTCCTCGTCCTCGTCCTCGTCGTCGTCGTCGTCGTCGTTGTCGTCGTCGTCGTCGTCGTCCGTTGCCGGGTCAAAGCTATTTTTCACAAGTCGATTGAGCGGTTAGTTGGTTCGTTGGTTCGTTGTTTGGTTGGTTAGTTCGCTGGCTGGTCTGTCGCTTGGTTGGTTGGCTAGTGGGTTGGTTTACCTTTGTCACACACCTCACACGGGTCGCGTCTCCAGAGCCTGGACATTTTTTTTTTGGACTGGCGCTATGTTTTGACCACCAGGGGCCCAGAAGAAAACCAAGAGAGGGGAAGGGTGGATGGGGGAGGAGGGGGGGAGCGGGGGGAGAGAGGGAGGGGGGAGGGAGGGAGATAGGGAGGGAGTGAGGGAGGAGGGGGTCGAGGGGAGGGGGGGGGCAGGGAGGGAGTGAGGGAGGAGGGGGTCGAGGGGAGGGGGGGGGGCATGCGCACGAAGGAGGACGGAGGAGGATTAGGAGGTGGGAGGAGGAGGAAGGAGGAGGAGAAGGAGGAAGAGGAGGAGGAGTAGGGACCACTGATATTGCAATAACTCCTATCTGTAAGTTCCCTCTTCGTAGGTCCTAAACAGGGAAGAGCCCCGTTGGAACACAACAGTTTGAACATCCAGAACTGTGCCAGAAATTCCATGCCTGGAACACGACCGCCGCGAATCACAGCAGCTATTGCGTCGAGACGAGCCTGAATCGTGCCAGCTCGCCCTTCCTTGGATTTCAACACCGCGAATGAACGTGACTGTTGCGCCCTGACATACCGACATCATGCCAAAATACCATGTCTTGGACTGTCGCAAACTCTGAAGACGAAGGTGCGCGGCGCTAAGGCGAGAGCAACATTTTGAAAAGGAATCGCCCTCCATCCGTGAAGCTCTTGCAAACTTTTAAAACTTATGTGCGCGGCGCTGAGGCGAGAACAGCATTTTGAGTACGGGCCGTCCCAGGGTTTTCTTGGCTTTAGATGAATGTGCGATGGAAAGCGTGACGTTCCCACACCAAAAATCGATGGACGTCCTGGGGTCTCAGGGTTGGGTTTCTTATGTACCGTTTCTTGTGGTCGAGCTCCTACTGTACTGTCGCACCACACGCAACGGTCGGGAAACCGCGCGCCAACCCTTGCACAGGGTCGCTCTCGCGTGTAGCCTCCAGGGGCGAGGCCCAGGGCAGGGGATCTGGAGGTCTCCCAAAGCCTTTGGGATCATGACCCTGGAGATCGGGATATTGCATGCCAGAACTTTGTGAGATCCAGCGCCATAGTTTTCAACCCACTGCTTCAGTTTTTCAACCCACTGCTTTAGTTTTCTCGGGTGCGCGAATGTCCTGGTCTGCCCAGACCCTCTCTTACTCTCCCTCCTCCCCCTCCTCCCCCTCCTCCTCCTCCTCCGCCTCCTCCTCCCCCTCCTCCTCCTCCTCCTCTCTCCTCCTCACTCCCTCTTAGCCGATGGCGGGGATTGCGCCCCTCACCAGCCCTCATGGGCGGCCTTGAGTGAAGGACCTGGGAACCTGATCGGACAAGAACGGGAAGCGCCGCTTTAGTCTATTGTGCGTATTAGGCGAAGAAGAAAAGGAAGGCGAGGACAACGAGGAGTCGATGACGAGGACGACGTGGCGAACGTGAGGGTAGCGCGGAGGAGCATGAGGACAACGAGGAGGAAGAGAAGCACAAGGACGATGACGAAGAGAACGAGGGCGAGTACGAGGACGAATGCGGAGGGCGACGACGACGACGACGACGACGACGACGACGACGACGACGACGACAGAGGACAGTACGAGGCAATTGGAGAAAGACGTTGCTCCTGGCGCCGCGCGGGGTTCTCTTGGGGCCTGTTGGGGGCTTCTTGGGGGCCCCTTGGGTCCTCTTATGGGCTTCTGGGGTCTTCTGGGGCTGTCTGGGCGCGTCGTGGGGTTCTGTGGGAGCTTTCTTAGGCCGTCTCGGCGCTGGGGGCCTCCTGGGGCGCTCCCAGGAGTCTCTTGGGGCCTTCTTGGCCCTTCTAAGGCCGTCTTGGGGTTCTTGTGAGCTGTGTGGGTGGCTCCTAGAGCGCTCTTGGGGGTCTCTGGGGGTCTTCTTGGGGCGCTCTTGGGCGCTCCTGGGGCTCTCCGGGGCGTCTTTTGGGCCTCCCTTGGGCCGTTTGAAAACACTCCAAGAGCGATTCGAACACGACGTCGACGTCTTGGCGTTATCTTGGACTGTCTTGGCGTTATCTTGGACTGTCGTGGGGCTCTGGGGGCCTGATTGGGGCCCGTGGGGAGCATTTTGGGAGCCTCTTGGAGGCTTCTGTGACCCTCTTGGACTCAGGCGTCTCTCGAGGGTCTGTGGGGGCTCTCTTGGGCTGTCTTGGCGTTCTCTTGGACCGTCTTGGGGCTCTCTTGGCCAGTCCTGGGGCCTCTTCGCGCGCTCGGGGGGGCCTCTGGGCGCCTCTTGAGGGCCTCTTGGGGGTCTCTTGGGCCGTTTTGGGGGTCCCCTGGGGGGCCTTTGGGGGCTCTCTTGGGCAGTTTTGAGGCCCTCCGGGAGCGACTCCAAGATAATGCCGGTTCGGAGTCCCCTCCGGAGCCGATTTGTCGAGGATGTCTCGAGCGAAACGGCCATTTTTCTGGAACCTGATCGGACAAGAACGGGAAGCGCCGCTTGAGTCTATTGGGCGTATTAGGCGAAGAAGAAAAGGAAGGCGAGGACAACGAGGAGTCGATGACGAGGACGACGTGGCGAACGTGAGGGTAGCGCGCAGGAGCATGAGGACAACGAGGAGGAAGAGAAGCACAAGGACGATGACGAAGAGAACGAGGGCGAGTACGAGGACGAATGCGGAGGGCGACGACGACGACGACGACGACGACGACGACGACGACGACAGAGGACAGTACGAGGCAATTGGAGAAAGACGTTGCTCCTGGCGCCGCGCGGGGTTCTCTTGGGGCCTGTTGGGGGCTTCTTGGGGGCCCCTTGGGTCCTCTCATGGGCTTCTGGGGTCTTCTTGGGCTGTCTGGGCGCGTCGTGGGGTTCTGTGGGAGCTTTCTTAGGCCGTCTCGGCGCTGGGGGCCTTCTGGGGCGCTCCCGGGAGCCTCTCTTGGCCAGTCCTGGGGCCTCTTCGCGCGCTCGGGGGGGCCTCTGGGCGCCTCTTGAGGGCCTCTTGGAGGTCTCTTGGGGCGTTTTGGGGGTCCCCTGGGGGCTCTCTTGGGCAGTTTTGAGGCCCTCCGGGAGCGACTCCAAGATAATGCCGGTTCGGAGTCCCCTCCGGAGCCGATTTTTCGAGGATGTCTCGAGCGAAACGGCAATTTTTCCGGAACCTGACCGGACAAGAACGGGAAGCGCAGTTTTTTATCCACCACGTGCGTCAGAGACCGTATTGGCGAGAACGTCAGAGAACATCCCTGTTGCGTTTCCTGGCTTCGGCGCCGTCTTGGAGGTATCTTGGACGCTCTTGGGGCTGTCGTAGCCTCTGGCCTCTCGGGGGCCTCTTGGGGGAGTCCCGGGGGGGGCCTTCGGGGGCTCTATGGGGCGATATGAAGCTCTCAGGGAACTCCTGGAGCCTTTTCGCGCGTTCTGGGGGACTTCTGGCCGCCTCTTTGGAGCCCCTGGGGGGCTTCTTGGGGGTCTCTTGGGGCGTTTTGGGCGCTCTGGCGGGCCTCTGGCCGCCCCTTGGGGGCCTCTTGGGGGTCTCTTGGGGCGCTCTGGGGGTCCTCTGGGGGGCCTTCGGGGGCTTTCTTGGGCCGTTTGGAGGCCCTCCGGGAGCGATTCCAAGATAATGCTGCTTCGGAGTCCCCTCCGGAGCCGATTTTTTGAGGACGTCCCGAGCGAAACGGCCAATTTTCCGGAACACGGCAGACCACACAGGAGCACGGCAGACCACACAGGACACGGCAGACCCCACGGGAGCACGGCAGACCACACAGGAGCACGGCAAACCACACAAGAGCACGGCAGACCATACAGGAGCACGCCAGACCATTTTGGGGAATCCGTTAACGAAAAATCCCGTGCAGCGCGGCAACCCATATAGTTAAAGAAAAGATATATTTACTCAAGGATTCAGCCAGAACGTCCCGCTTGCTTGTCGTACCTCGAAGACGCTTCCCGTCATCCGCCAACGAGTTTCGGGATGGAGCCCGTACCCCTTAGTTAGAGAACCGCCAACGAGTTTCGGGATGGAGCCCGTACCCCTTAGTTAGAGAATCTCTCTCCCTCTCTATCTCTCTATGTCTCTCTCTTTCTCTGGCTTTAAGCCCCCAAAGCTTCAGCTTCAGCACGGCAGACCAGAACAGCAGACCCGCACGGCAGACCAGCACAACACACCGACACGGCAGACGAGCACGGCAGTCCGGCACGGCAGACCAGCACGGCAGACCAGCACGGCAGCCCATAGGAACATAGCAGACCAGATCATGTCATTGACGCTGCTGTTGTTGGTGATGATCATGTTGCTGCTGATGGTGATGGTGATGCGTACGATGATGATAATGATGATGATGAGGAGGAGGATGATGATGATGATGAGTATGAGTATGATATGAGATGATGATGATGATGATGATGATGATGATGATGATGATGATGATGATGATGAGGATGATGATGATGATGGACTTCTCGGGGTGTGCTTGGGAGATGTTGGGGTCCTCTGGAGAGCCTTTGGACTAGCAGTTTAAATCTGCGTAGCCGTTGTAACCCGACTCTCGTTTTCTTCATCGGTCTGACCGGTTTATCAGCTTACACGGCACAGCGCAGCAACACGACAGACGGCAGCAGCACGGCAGACCAGGAAGGCAGACCACAGGAGCACGGCAGACCAGAACGGCAGACCAGAACGGCAGACCGCAGGAGCACGGCAGAGCAGCACAGCTGACCACAGGAGAACGGCAGACCAGCACAGCGTTGTTGCAGCAGACGGTGCTGATACACTCTTAATTTATTGAACACGTCCCCAGCGAAATCGTCATGGTCGGCCGTATTGAGGGCACTCTGCGGGTCATCTTTGGGCCGATTTTGTTTTTGGGGGGCCGTACTGATGCCCTCAAAAACGATTCCAAGACGACGTTAGACTCATTGTTTGTTTGATGATTGTTCGGCCGTCTTGAGGGCACTCTTAGGGCATAGTCTGCCGTGCTCCTCGTCTTGGTCTGCCGTGCTCCTCGTCTTGGTCATCCTTTCCGTCGTCTTGAGGGCGCTCTTGGTGCCTGGTCTGCCGTGCTCCTCGTCTTGGTCTGCCGTGCTCCTCTCGGTTTCAGTGCCTGGTCTGCCGTGCTCCTCGTCTTGGTCTGCCGTGCTCCTCTCGGTTCCTGCGCGCGGTCTGCCGTGCTCCTGTGGGGAGCACGGCAGACCACAGGAGCACGGCAGACCACACAGGAGCACGGCAGACCACACCTCGATTTTTTGAGGATGTCTCGAGCGAAATGGCCATTTTGGGGAATCCGCCAACGAAAAATCCCGTGCGGCGCGGCAACCCATTGATATAAAGATATATATATATATATTTACTCAAGGATTCAGCCAGAACGTCCCGCTTGCTTCTCGTACCTCGAAGACGCTTCCCGTCATCCGCCAGCGAGTTGCGGGATGCAATCGGTACCCCTTAGTTAGAGAAAATTAAGGCCCTGAACCAACGGTGCACGCCGGAGGCGCTTCCCGTCATCCGCCAGCGAAGTCCGGGATGGGATCGGTGGCCCTTAGTTAGAGAAAATGAAGCCCCAGAACCAACGGTGCACGCCGGAGGCGCTTCCCGTCATCCGCCAACGCACCTGCGTGCCCCTCCCTTCCTCCCTCTTTCGACGAGCCATCGCGCCTCCCGCGCAAGGCATGGCACCGGCGCCAGCCCCTGGCGCTGGCGCGCCCGCGCCCCGCATGGGCGGCATGGGCGGCTACCCCGCCCCTGGTGGTCACCGCCCGACGCCGCGCTCTCCGGGGCCACATGCGGAGGGAAGGCAGACCGACACACTGGTGCAGTCTCCCCCGTGCGTGGTAGGGGTACACCGGACGGGAGTGGGGCGAGGTTAAAGTCCGTGCCGGAGCGTTCCGGCGCAGTATCCTTGAAACGATCCCCATCCCCATCCCCATCCTCTTCGAGACCCCCACCAAAGGACCACACCAGTTGGGGATACACCCCTCGAAAATCGAAGGGAACGACCTCTATCCCCATCTAGGGGGGTGAATCGGCCAGTGGGGCCCAGGCCACGCCGCTGGGGATGGGGATCGGTTAAACGATGCTCCGAGCGTTCTGGCATGCTCTCAGAGAGCGTTCTGGAGCGTTCTGAGAAGGCCGCGGTGCCCGAAGCATCCTCCAGAGCCGCCGGGTCTCAGAGATTTCTAGACTGATCCTCACCCGATGTTATTTTCGTCCTGGCTTCGTCTGATCGGCGGCGAGCGAGGGGGGGAAGTGGGAAGGAGAAGGCCGTCTCAGAATGTGGCGGGACTTCTCAGAAGCCCTCGCGCCTTCTGAGAAGTTTCCGTTGTCTTCGGGGAAGGCTTAGACTATCCCGGCAAAGCAACCTAACAGCGATGTGTAGGAGCATATCTGGAACCATTCCCCGATTCAGATGAGAATTCAGTTGTAGAATTGTGCTATTCTCGCAGTCGCAGTCGCATTCGCGATGACAGTCGCAGTGGCAACGGCAGTCGCAGTCACAGCCTCAGCCTCAGCCTGCCTCAGCATCAGCCTGCCTCAGCCTCAGCCTCAGCCTGCCTCAGCCTCAGCCTCAGCCTGCTTCAGCCTCAGCCTCAGTCTGCCTTCAGCCTCGGCCTCAGCCTCAGCCTGCCTCAGCCTCAGCCTCAGCTCAGCCTCAGCCCTCAGCTCAGCCCTCAGCCTCAGCCTCAGCCTGCCTCAGCCTCAGCCTCAGCCTGCTCAGCCTCAGCAGTCTGCTTCAGCCTCGGCCTCAGCCTCAGCCTGCCTCAGCCTCAGCCTGCATCAGCCTCAGCCTCAGCCTCAGCCTGCCTCAGCCTCATCAGCCTGCCTCAGCCTCAGCCTCAGCCTGCTTCAGCCTCAGCCTCAGTCTGCCTTCAGCCTCGGCCTCAGCCTCAGCCTGCCTCAGCCTCAGCCTGCATCAGCCTGGGCCTCAGCCTCAGCCTGCCTCAGCATCAGCCTGCTTCAGCCTCAGCCTCAGCCTCAGCCTCAACCTGCTTCAGCCTCAGCCTCAGCCTTCCTTCAGCCTCGGCCTCAGCCTCAGCCTGCCTCAGCCTCAGCCTGCCTCAGCCTCAGCCTCAGCCTGCCTCAGCATTCAAAATGTGTCCCGGGAATGGAGTTCTTGGAACTCGAAGAACACGAAGTGGCTTGCAGTTGGCTCCGGGCATTCAAAATCATGCCCAGGAATGGAGTTCTGGGAATTCGAAGAGCACGAAGTGGCCTACAGTTGGCTCTGGACATTCAGAATCATGCCCAGAAATGGAGTTCTGGGAATTCGAAGACCACGAAGTGGCATACAGTTGGCTCCGAGCATTCAAAATCATGCCCAGGAATGGAGTTTTGGGAATTCGAAGACCACGAAGTGGCCTACAGTTGGCTCCGAGCATTCAAAATCATGTCCAGGAATGAAATTCTGGGAACTCGAAGACCACGAAGTGGCCTACAGTTGGCTCCCAGCATTCAAAAGCATGCCCAGGAATGGAGTTCTGGGAACTCGAAGACCACGAAGTGGCCTACAGTTGGCTCCGGGCATTCAAAAGCATGCCCAGGAATGGAGTTCTGGGACCTCGAAGACCACGAAGTGTGTAGCTGTTTGCTTAAAACGACTTCCGCGGATTCTCCCCGGCACCCGTCCAGCATCTGCCCAGCCCCCCCTGAGGAGTCAAGATGCTTTCTTTTGAGACCATTAGAAACCTACCAGTCTTCGCTGTTAGGTAATAACTTTTCAGAAGGCCAGGGGACTTCCGAGCCTCCTGAGAAGGCCTTCTCCGAGTCTTCTCCTTCTCTCGCCGAGCGCGTTCCACTACTCGCAAAGTGCCTAGTCGCAAACGTCCGAAATATACAGGTCTTCCTCTATGTCATATATCGTGAATCCCCCGTGGAGGATCCAGGCCATTTGCGAGTAGTTGATTTGCGAGTAGTGGAACGCGCCTGTCCATTCTCACTTCCCCCCCTCGCTCGCCGCCGGTCGTAAGTCTGCAGAGCTGCACAGGCGTGGTTCAGCCTTGCTCGGGGGCCCGCGCAGATCCCTCGGGTCGGCGCTGGACTCCCTCCCCTGGCGCGCCTCTGGCGCGCCGGGGGCGGCGCCACGGGGCGCTGCCACGGGGGGGGTGTCCAGCGCCGACCCAGGGGATCTGCGCGGGCCTCCGAGAGCAAGTTACGCAAGTTCTACCGGGACCGAGCACAATGTTGTGTGCTGTTCGTTTCGGTGTCTGTTGTTGCGCTGCTGCGTGCTTCATTGTTGTGTGTAATGCGTCTGAATCGAAGGCCTTTGTCTGGCGCACGCTTCATTTGTGGTTTCGTTTTGCTGTTTTGTTGTTCTTTGAGTTCTGGGGCTCGTGGGGGGGAGAGCCCATCGCCACGGCCGAATTCGCCTCGGAGTCTTGGTCAGAGCGCACCTCGGAGAGTTCCAGGGAGCAGCGGTGTTGGCATGTTTCTGTTGCCTTCAGGGTCCCACCTCTCCTCGGTTTCCTCTCCTTGTCTTCCCGACTCGTCCCGCCCAAACGGTCGCGGCTCTACGACCAGTGGGGCCGGATGGATGTTCGTTCGCTCGCTCGCTCGCTCCCCTCGTCCTCCCCAGCACCAGGGAGAGCATCAAAAAGGCTCGGCATCATCGACCAGTTCTCACACTCCGACTCTGTTCGGAGCTCGAAGCTTTGTGCCTTCTCCTGCGGCCTCTCCTGCAGTCGTGCTCGCACAATCCCGCGCTGGAGACAGACGTCTGGTTGGCAGATTGCTCAGGATGCTCGAATAGGGAGTTGGTATGTTGCCGCATTTTACGAGCCTTGCCGTGCAGTTTTCACCCACATGGCTTGACTGCGACGGGGGTTCCCTGCGAGACCCCACCACGAGTCGCCCGCCATGTTCTTCGAACGGCGGATCCATTGACTCGTAAGTCCCCTTCCCAGCGGTTGCTCTTAGACGGGTTCCGATCATATTCCATGGCGAGTTGTGGTCGCCTTGCTGTGACCACGCCGGTTGTTGGCACAGCTTTTTCCTCCCGAGAACTGTCAGTGGACGTGGAACGCAGACCCTGCACAGGGTGGCCATCCTGAAACCAGGGAAGCAGAGGAAGGCTCATCTTCACTTCTACCGAGCCTGGTCAGTCCCTCCTGGGGCCCCAGATCGATGTTGCCAGGAACGAGTGTTCGCCGATCATGGACCGAGGACGTGCCTGCCCAGGTTCAGCCAGTGTCAGTGGCTTGCCAGTGCCCTCTCAGCCAGGGCAGGGGAGTCGGGCAAGAGAGGGCGGCCGCTTAGTCTCAGAGGAGTGGTCTCCCCAGAAGGGGGACGAGAGAGGGCGGCTGCTTGGTCCGACCGCGCCCAGGCGGCGTGCCAGCGGCGCCGATGCCGGCGCCCGGGCCGACCCCCGGCGTGCCAGGCTTTGGGGGCGCCTCGCATTTCGGAGGCGGGCACGGGCCCCGTGGGGAGAGGGGGGGGGACAGGGCCCGGAGGGCCGTCGCCCTGTTGCTGTCGAGTTTACCGTGGCGGCGACAAGGACACCCTTCGGGGGTGGACAGAACCCCAACCCTGACACGTCGATTAGTGAATTGTCCGTTCTCGGTTCTCGAGAGGGCGCCGCGGCCGTCGTTTTCCAGGCTTGTGCCCTTCAGGTTTGGGCCCGAGGTCGTTTTCACTAAACCACGCTGGGGGTTCTGTCCATCCCCGGGCCCTCGGATTACGGCGCGTGGATTGTCGACAGGTGCTGTTGCCATGCGAATTTTCTGCGCTGCGTCGCGCAATGAGGGGGGGGCACCGGCTTCCTGTTTCGGGGGTGCGTTCCCCAATCCGTGGGTTTGGCGGCCACGCACCACGTCCACAGATCCGTGATCCTTAATCGGGCCTGTCCCTCTACAAGGGGGAATATTCAAAAAGAGTTAACAAAAATAGTACGGGGACTATTTTGTTGTATATGTTTGACCATTTTGCAGTATTTTGTTTGGGGGGTATTTTTCATTTTTCGTTGAACATTCTCCTGTAGGGGGGCACGCCCGACTTAGCCGTAATCCATGTTAGCATGTGTCCGATTATTGGGTTGAGTTGTACCTTCTGGTGTCTCTGGTGTCGAGAATTTCTTGGTGTGCGACGGCGGGCAGCTTGCGGCGGCAGGTGAACCCTTTTGTCTCCCCTTGTAGGTCAAGCCATGGTGACGACAGGCATGCTGTCCTTGAGGCCCTCCCCCACTGAAACTCACACGCAGAACTTCTGCGGACCATTGCGTCGGTTAGTGATGCGAGTATACTTACGTCGGAAACTGCAGCATATACGTTACCTGTGGCGGGCTGTTTTTCAATCCCAGGACTTTCTGCGGGTCGGGAACGACGTCGGGGTGGTGTGGTGTATATTTTTTACCCCGTTTCTCGGGGAAACAACGAACAATGTATACACGAGGGTAACGTATACACCAGGATCCGCTTTCCTGTGCGAGTTTCAGTGCAGGGCTGGAAAAAGCGTCGGTGTATAGAGTTCGGTTCTCTACTACGCGGGCCGAAGGATGTTCCACTTGAGCCCGAGATGTCGGAAGCGCCGTGCCGTTCTAGTAAACGGATGTATGTTGCGTTCGCTTCGAATCGGGGGGTGCCACACGGTAAGTATGGGAGGACATTCGGGAGTTGGCCAGGCCCTTTGTGGCGTTTGCGCAACCGTACGTTATCGTGATGGCCAGGCTTTCTGTGGCGCTCGAGCACCCACATGTTATGGACCGGTTCGGGGAGCTGGTTGGGCCTTTTGTGGCGCTCGAACTTCCGACCTAATACTTTGTTTGTATTCGTCCTCCTCGTGCTCCCTCCTCTTCTTACTCTTCCCTCTCGCCCTCGTCGCCCATCCCTCTTCCTGCCTTCTCCCCCTCCTGTCTCCTCCCCTTGCCCCCCTCCTTCCTCCTCCTTCTTATTTTTCCTCCGCCATCCTCCCCCTCCTCTCTTATTTTCCTCCTACATTTTCCTCACACCTCCGTCCCCCTCTTTCCTCCTCTCTCCTCCCCTTGCCTCCTCCCTCCTCCCCTTACCTCACCCTAGGAAGCCCTTCCCTCGTAGAGTCATAGCATTGGACTTCAGAGCCACAGCTCCGTGGATAGCATGATGTCTTAGTCGCAGCGCCCCGTGGATCCAATTTCCTGTGGGTCCAGGAGATTAACTCGTATTGGAATGTAGTCCAGAAAAACTGGGCCCAACAGGTTTTCGCAGGGGAAATGGTCTCCGCGCAGCACCGAATTATGATCCGCGAAAGTGTTACGCACCCGTAACATTTATACAAGTTGATCCGTCGGTGTTGTCTTATCTTAATTCTCAGAGGAACAAATCGTTCGGCCTGGGGATGTACTGCAAGTGGAAGGGAATGGTTCTGCGCATTTCGAGACGGGGTCCGCGGCACTAGTCATTGACCTTGTCAGGGTGCCCCTCGCTTTCGGTACAGACGCCCGCTTGCACGCACGCGTTTCTTCCTTCATTGAGGAAAACACATCGTTTGTCCTTTTCCCTCTCCCTCTTCGTTCACTTTTTCTAGATTCCCTTCCCGCCTCCATCCCTTTCTCTCCTCCTCTCTCCCCTCCCCTTGCCTCCTCCCTCCTCCCTTCCGTTCACCGTAGACACCTTCCCCCGTATAATCATAACATTGGTTTGCAGAGCCACAGCTCCTTGGATAGCATGATGCCTCTCGTGCAACGTCCGTGGATCCAACTACCGGCGGTTTCAACATTACTCTGAGAAAATGGATTGGTTCTTTGGTTGCTAACAAAGGGAAATTCGACCCGCGCAGCGCAGCGATTCGATCCACGATGTCGTTACACACCCACTAAACATTGTCAAATTGGATCCGTCGGTGTTGTCCTATTGTAACTCCATGAACAAATTTTTGCCAGGGGATGAGGGATTTCGCAGCGTGTTGGCAGGTGCTGGCTGGGGAGACGCACTTCCAAATCCCATGCACGATTTGTGTCGTTTTTGCAAATATTGGTCGGTGGTGCGCAGTCCCAAATCCCGCTTACGCGTGCCGACCGATTTTCTTCTTGAGCCCAAAATGTCGGAAGTGCCGCGACATTCAAATCAACGGATGTGTGTTGCGCTCTCTTCGAACCAGGGCGTGCCACGCGTCAAGGTTGGGAGGGCATGCGGGAATTCGCCGGGCTTGCTATGGCGTTCGAACAACCGTTCGTTATGGGAGGGGCTTGTGTGATTGGCAGGGCCGCTGTGGCGCTTGAGCGCCCACATGGTGGGACCGGTTCGGGGAGGTGGCTCGGCCCCGTGTGGCGCTCGAATTCCCGACCCTCAGACTGTGGTTGTTTTCGTCCTCCTCGTCCTCCTTCCTCTTTCTCGTCCTCTTCCCTCTCGTCCTCGTCCCCCACCCCTCCTCCCGCCTTTTCCCCCTCCTGCCTCCTCCCTCTGCCTCCCTCCTTCGTCCCTCTCCTCCTCCTCCTCCTCCTCCTCTTCCTCCTCCTCCTACTCCTTCCTCTTCCTCTTTTTCCTTCTTCCTCATTTGTTTTCCTGTATTGCCTTCACACTTCCGTCCCCCTCTCTTCCCCTATCGCCTCTTCCGTCCCCCCCTCTCCTCACCCTAGGGAAACCTTTCTCTCGTAGAAGCATAACATTGGTCCACATGTCCACATTTCCGTGGATAGCATGATGCCTTACGTGCAGCGCCCCGTGGATCAAATTACCAGGGGGTCCAGGAGAGTAATTCGTATTCAAATTTAGCCTAGAAAACAAACGGACCCATCAGTTCTTCACACGGGAAAGTTGGATCCGCGCAGCACAGACCATTGATCCACGGAAGTGCTACGCACCCATACGAATGATCCAATTGGATCCATTGGTGTTGTCATAGCTTAACTTCAAGAGGAAAAACAGTCGTCCTGCCATGTCGACGGGGATGGTTCTGCCCATTTCGACATTGGCGCCGACGCACTGGTCATTGTCCTAGTCACCGTGTCCTTCGCTTTCGTTGCAAACGCACAATTGCACGCACACGCGTTTTCCTTCCATCGACGATGTGCAGCACGATCGCGTCACCAGCAAGCGGGGCTGAACGCACTTGTTCCGTCCGACGGGAGATGAAGGCAGTAACCAGGTCAAGCAAGGACGGGCCACCTTCAAAGCAAATCGACCATTTTGTGAGGAGACGGGAGCAAAAGACTTTTGAGCAGTAAGTTCAAGTGTTCAAGTGCTTGCATCCGCATTTTTTTAAGGGCGGGGAATAGCGGGAGCGTAGTGCACGCACACGAAAGTACGCACGCATTTGAACATTCAAAATCGGTGCAGTTCCAAGGAGAGCTCGCGCGCGGTGCGGGGATTTCAAAGATTCAACCACACAGATACATACATGCCAGACCCCTTCGCAGCTTCGTGTGGGTAGCACGAGTACCCGAAGGAGGCAGAGCACCGACGACGAAGATCCGAGTGAATGCCTCCGTGACGATGGTCGCATCCCCCGCGCATGCGGTGCTCGCAGGCGCAGCACCAGGCATGGGCGCGGCTCCAGGCATGGGCGCGGCACCGGCGCCAGCTCCGCAAGCCCCGGCGCCAATGCCGGCAAACTTGGGGCCAGCCCCCCGCATGCCTTCCGGCATGCCAGGCCAGAGATCCCCCCCGTCGGGGTAATGAACGGTGGTGGTTGCGTTGCGGGGGGGAGGGGGGAAGGAGGAGAAGGAGGAGGAGGAGGAGGAGGAGGAGGAGGATCAGAGTAAACCCAAGATGCATCAACGATGCTGCAAAACATTTTGCGTCTCATTTCCATTCGCTCCCACTCAGGTCGTCCTTTTCAATACAATGAGCGCCCCCTTGAACGGTCAGCACCCTGTGCGTTTATCATTATTCAGTCGAGAACCCCGTTTTGAAAAGAAACAGCCTTGCCTCCTTCTAGCGGATCGTAAGGATTGCGGAGCTGTATGATCAAACATTTCGTCGGGATGCCCAGCGAATGAATTCCCGTTTGCAGAACCAACGGCCACATCGGTGTAATCCCCCAATCAGTGCTTACACTGAAGGGGTCCTAGCGGAAGTTGAAGGAGTTGGCGAAAGTTCCCCGCCGATTTTGGTGGCAAGCTGGGTTCCCAGGTTCCCGGGTTCCCGGTTCTGGGTTCCTGGGTTCCCGGTTTCAGGTTCCGTGCCGAATTCGAAGGGCGGCGAGGTCCTTGCGTTCCCGGGTTCCTGGTCGATCTTCTTATCGATCGTTCTCATTATCGATCTCAATACCGATTTCTCGATCAATCTCACCATCGATCTCACAATCGATCTCACGATCAATCTTACAAGTGATCTCATTACAGAACGCATGAGCGCTCTCGCGATCGATCTCACTATCGATCTAATTGAATCGATTTCACTCTCGGTCTCACGATCGACCTTACAATCGTCCTCACTATCGATTTCGCTATCGATAGCATTATCGATCTCAAAATCGATCTCAAGATCCATAGTATCAATTTTCAAATCAACCACTGATTGGGGTCTTCTCAGGTGTAGTTTTAGATTTCTGGTATGCGCTGTGAAGAGATTGCAAGCAAGAGTCCCAGGGTGCAAAATAATCGCCATATCTAAGTGCAGCTGTTACACATGCCAAATATTATGGTTTTACGTTTACGTCTCAAGCGAGAGTTCCATTTCCGAAATGAACCGTCATTCACCCTTGTACCTCTTGCCAACGCTAAAACGGATATTCGCTGCGCTTTGGCGAGACACCCATTTTAGAAAGGAACCGTTCTACCTCCGTGCAGTTGTAACAATGTCCGATCATGGCCTGTCAGTTCAGAGCAGCCTCAAGGGATAACCAAATTTTGAAAAAGGGATCGCCCTCCCACCGGCTGCTTGATGCAAGCCTGACGGCGAGGTGTGCGCAGCGCCAGGACGAGAGTCCCATTTTGGAAAAGGAACCGCCCTCTGTCCTTCTAGCAGCTGGCAGCCGTTGAGGCGAACAGGCGCGGCGCCAAAGCGAGAGCCCCGTGTTGAAAAGAGCTGTCATCCATCTCTCTTTCACTCGTTGCAGCGTTTGCGGACGAGTGCAAGTGGCGATAAGGCGCGAGTTGTTGCAAACTGTCAGACCAGTGTGCACGGCGCCCAGGCTGAACTTCCAGTTTGGATATTCCAGAGTTCGTAATAGAAGGGAGGGGGTCTGGACCCTCCAAGACAAGCCATTTCAGACCCCCCCCGTGGGAGAACCCTCCAAAACACCGTCCCCAGACCCCCCCAGGCCCTCCAAGATAGCCTGGAAGAGACACCCCGCGAAATGAGATCCCCCTCCCTTTATTACGAAATTAGGTGTACGGCCCCTTCCATCCCTGCAATTGTTGCAAGTCTTGAAGAGGAGTCCGCACGGGGCCGACGCGGGAGGCAAGACTGAGCCACATGCCATCCTGTCAGTTGTTGCTCTGCTGTACGACGATTGTGCACGGCGCTAAGGGGAGATCTCAATTTTGACAGCAAATTTCTTTTTCATGTATACAGTTGTAGCAAACTTTTGAGACGAATAGGCACGGCGTCAGTGCGAGCTCCCCATTTCGAACACGACCCCTCTCCAGACCATCCATCAACGAGGCCCATGGGCATTGCTAGGATGACCAGATCGGAAGAGGGTAGGACGATCGGATGGAGAGCGGGGAGGAGAAGGACGAGGGTCGGGATGATGACGATGATGATGATGGCGATGATGTTGATGATGTTTATGATGATGATGGTGATGCTGATGATGTTGATGATGATGCTGCTTATGGTGATGGTGCGGCTGACGATGATGCTGATGATGATGATGATGATGCTGCGTATACGACGCTGATGCTGCTGCTGATGATGATGATGACGATGATGATGATGACGACGACGACGACGATGATGATGATGATGATGATGATGATGATGATGATGATGTTGATGATGATGATGATGTTGATGATGATGATGCTGATGCTGATGCGGATGCGGATGCGGATGCGGATGCGGATGCGGATGTTGATGATGATGATGAGGAGGAGGAGGAGGAGTGGGATTTTCTTACTTTGCCTTTCTGGCGCGCTTCGGGGGCTGAGTTTTCGCGGTCGCCGCCGTCATCTTTCCATTTCCTTTCCCCTCCTTCTTCTGCTTTTTCTTCCACTCCCCCCTCTACCTCCCCTCGCGTACTGGGCGCGTGCACCTGCACACCGCTGACAATCGTAGTTGTGTGAAGTCCTCTAGATTGCACCAGTGCAATCCGGCCAATGCCCCAGGTTACACCTGGGCCAGTTCGCTGTTGGCTTTTGGTTTGGGTGCGCGGGGTGAACATGAAGAGGAGAAGGAAGCGGAGGAGGCGGATGAGGAGGAGGAGGAGGAAGATGAGGAGGAGGAGGAGGAGGAGGAGGAGGAGGAAGGGTAGGAGGAAGAGGAGGAGGAAGAGGAGGAGGAGGAGGATGAGGAGGAGAAGGAGGAGGAGGAGGAAGGGTAGGAGGAAGAGGAGGACGAGGAGGAGGCCTTCGCAGAGTTTTGTTGTTGGGTCGGAGTGTCGAAGTTGTTGTTTTGCACAGGTCCGCCCGCGCTGGGAACAACCCCGCGGAGGGCTTGCCGACGCGGGGGCGTCCTCGCTCGGCTGGTCGGCTGCGCCCTCGCCGACCCGCTTCCGTCTCTCGCTCACGCCGTGCGGTGTGGTGCCGTGCCGTTCTTTTTGTCCGCCTGCCACTGGGGCGGGGTAGATGTACAGAGTTCCGCGTCCAGGGGTTCGGTCCGTGTCTCCCGCGGGGGATCTGGCTGCCCACCTGGGGGCCACGGCGCGGGCGACGAACGAGCAGCCTGGCGTCGGCCCAGGCTCGCAGACGGGCTGGCTCACACGCGGCGGACGTCCACCAGGGCCCGGGCCCCCACGGCCGACCCTACCCGACCAGAAGGGGCGTGGGGAGCAGCGGTCCGCCTACATCCCGCTACGGGGCAGGCCGTGCGAGCGAGCGGCGACGCAGCGAACGGGCTGAAGGCTACCCCTCGCGCGGCAACTCGAGGCTGCAAGGCACTGGCCAGAGGGGGAACGCGAAGCGGCCCTCATCGCTAACATCGCGGCGCTGCAGCAGCGATAGGGGCTCTCGAGCGAAGTGAACCCCACCCTCCCTCTCAGAAGTCGTGGGGGGTAGGGGCAGGGTTCGCATGTGTCCCCCTAAGCGAGCCAACCACAGTGCTCAGACCGTGCAATCCCTGCAGGGTCACTCTGCACCGCTGCGAGACAGGTTCCGCCGAGCGCAGGCCGCACGGAGTGGCCTTCAACGGGCTTTCCGCCCTACCGCGTCTCTCGGGGCTTCTCTCCAGGGAACTCTCCAGGCGCGCCTCGGTGCTCGCCGCTCAGCGCGCCAATGCTACTTAGCGACCTTTCTCCCGAGTGAGTAGCGAGAGCATTTGGCAACTGCTCCGTAGCTGTCACGCTGGGCCGCCGCGAGGGATGCCCAAGGCGGCGCCGCGGTTCGCTGAGGTACCGCGGCGCGTATGCCCAAACGCGGTTGCAGCCGGCGCCTGTTTTTCGGGCGTGCAGACGGGCGTTCGAGTGGCTTGTTCACTATTTACCCGCTTTGCTACGCAGTCGGAGTCCTTCCGAACCCGCCAGGGGGAGGGTGGCGCCCCGCCCATGCTGTTTCAGCGGCGCCTCCCGCTTTGTGAGGCAGGGTCGCGCAGCCGTTGCCCAGTGCCAGGCCTGGATCATACCTGGTGTGAACTGGTGCTCTCTCTCTCACTCTCTCTCGTCTCCGTCCTTCCGTCTTTTTTGTTGGTTTGTTCTCTTTGCTTGTCCCTGCCTCTGCCTCTGCCTCTGTAGCTGTCTCTCTCTCTCTCTCTCCTCTTGTTTTTCTTCCCTCTCTCTCGCTCTCTGTCTCTTTCTCTGTCTCTCTTCCATTTTTCCTCCCTCTCCATGCGCCCCCCCCTCGCCCCCGAAGCGCGAAGGCCCAGGGATGCCGCCCATGCCAGGTGGCGGCGGCGGCATGGCGCCAGGGGCGCCCGGAATGGCAGGCTGCGCGGTGCACGTGTGTTTTTGTTCCCTTGTCTTAGGGATGGAATCCAGGAGGAGGAAATGAGAAAAGCAGCTGCGCGCACAGGTCGGCCAGTGGGCGTGGCGGGAAACACATGAGCCACGCCCGAGCGCTTTTCATTAACAAGCTCCCGGAGTCAATGTCAGAACGGAGTTTCGCTCGCTCGTGCAAGAGATGTGCCGCGCCCCACTCCCAACGCGCATTGTGAGCGTCGAGCGTGATTCTGGAGTGTCAGAAGGGGATACAGACTGCGCGTTGTTTTCTTATAGGTTGAATGTTGAGCGGGATATCCCACCCTGGCCCCTCTATATCGTCGTGGCGTATTCTGTGGTCTGGATGCGCGATGATTGACGACTGGCGGAGTCGGCGGAGTGGGTTAAATAGAATTGAACCCGCGCCCCGTAATTTCCGATCCATTTCTGTGACAACAGAGGTATGATTTAGGGGGACCCGATCTAGTCCGTGGGAGCGCATGAGTTGCCTTCCCAATGCTAAGATTTGTCAGCGGGATCTGAGATTCCAACATCATACCAACCCGCATAAGTTTTTGTTTTCTCGGTTGTGCAATTGGGCCACAGCGAGGGGGGTGGACATCTTTTGCAATAGTGAGTGGGCCAACTGAGGTGAAGAGGAGGGGGGGCGAACATGACGAGGAGGAGGAACATTCTAACGCTTCGCACATCCACACTTGCGTACATTTTACGTCAGTGGACGACTGCGTATGTTGTGCATCATTTCTGGAACACCGTTTTTTGATGGAAAACAGACATGTTCAATTGCGCCACCAAATGAAAACAAACCAGAACAGCATGCAATAACGCAGAAGTCTGTTTACTCAAGTCAGATCAAATTCTCCAAATCCTGAGCACTTTCTCGAAATCCCGGACCCGTTCATTAACACGACCGAAATGCAGCGATGTGTCCAGCAGCGATGCCCAGGCGAGCCGCTGGCATGAGGGAAGTAGAGAAGCAACAAGTACAGCAAGGAGGCCAACAATGGAGGCCTGTCGTGGAGGCAGGCTGGTCTTTAGGTTCGGAAGCAGCCTCCAGACGCCATACCATGCAATACATTGCGCGTCTTTTTCGAACCGCCAGGAACATAAGAACAACAAGCGGCCTCAACATAGCCTCTCGGCGATCCAGGAAACCCTCGTCGGCGCCGCACCCCCTTCCCTCTCGCGGGCGATACGTGCAAGCTGCGGCGCCGGAGGCGCCGCCAGGGGGCGCTCTCGGGAGCCTTGAGACGGGGGTCAATGCAAACGGGGGTCAGCCAGAGCGCCCGATCTTGCAGGATCCTGCAGGGCCAGGGTCGCAGGATCCTTCGCATTGACCCGGGTTTGAGAGCAGGACCTTGCAGGATCCTGCAAGGCCCGACTGACCCGGGTCTGGATTGGCCCGGACCAGCAGATCCCCGACGCTCAGTGCCGATTCAGCCGAGTGCGCATGTCAGCCCCAGGTCTCTGCCAGACCACGGGTAGGGCTGGACGGAGTCGTCCAGCACCTCGCCGTCGTAGCGTTCTACCGGCAACACCCGAGCGAGCCCCATGCGTTCGCCCTCATCTGTTTTCTTCTTCGGCCTCGTCCAGGGGTGCTCCATTGCGCAGCCCCCGAGAGTTCGCACCCGTGCCACTCCTCGTGGCCACAGCGCCCCCTCCCCGAGCCCTGCAGGCCAGGGCGCTCCCGGCGCCCCGGGCATGCCGGGCATGCCGGGCATGCCTCCGAGGCCCGCCGCCCCTGGTGGGACGATGCCGCCAGGCCCGGCCGACGCAGCGGTGCCCCTGCGAGAGCACCAGGGATGATGATGATGATGATGATGATGATGATGATGATGATGATGATGATGATGATGATGATGATGATGATGATGATGATGATGATGATGATGATGATGATGATGATGATGATGATGATGATGATGATGATGATGATGATGATGATGATGATGATGATGATGATGATGATGATGATGATGATGATGATGATGATGATGATGATGATGATGATGATTGGGATGCTGAAGATGATTGAAGATGCTGCTTATGCTGTCTGGATGGATGATGCTGCTGATGTTGATGGTGATGCTGAATATGATGACGCTGCTGATGCTGACAATGATGATAATATTGTGATGTTGATGATGCGAATGATGCTGATGCCGGTGATGCTGATGCCGATGCTGACGATGATGCTGCTGATCATGCTAATGATGATGGTGTTGACGACGATGATGATGATGATGCTATGATGATGATGCTGACGATGATGCTGCTGATCATGCTAATGATGATGGTGTTGACGACGATGATGATGATGATG